TAGGGCAGTCTGCGCAGAAAAGTCACCCTCCCTCAGCATTTCGTTAGGGAGATAATTTCTGCCCGGTGCATTTTCTGGTCTTAGACTGGATCGCCTTTTGTACTTCCTCAACAGATGGCGCTTCAGCCAGCCACTCACAGGGGGTGACTTCTTCCAATATTTGAGGCACCGCAGCCTCAGCAGGGTCATCCCCACTTTGTCCCATGATGTTTTTCAGACTGAGGGATTTCTCCTCCCCCAAGGCCTCACAAAAATGGTCAGAAAATCTCTGGGGGACACAGATCGGATCACTTTCCCCTTATGATGGTGATAGGTGTGGCGCTGCAAGTTACTTTTTTGATGGAGTGAAGGTAATTTGTGATCGCGAGCTACTGAGGCAGACTCCATCTCCTCAGCAACCCGTGACCACCACCCATCTTTGCAGCGCCGGACAGCTCTCCGAACCTCCGAGAGTAGGCTGCGGTAAGCATCCTCATTCTCTGACATGGGATGCTGTAGCCGGTGAGAGTGAGCCTGTAACCTCTGTCAGTTAGGGTCTCTGGGGAGGTTTGGACTGTTCATCCAAAGCAGCCCTTGCAGCTGTATGAGCCACAGTCCTAAACCTCCAATTTCCCCTCGGTATCAGGCACGATGCCAACTCCAGCTGCAAGTGATGATGAAATTCCCACTTGCAACTTTCATCATCCAGCTGAGACCAGGCCATTGTGGTTTCGAATTGGTTCCTGGATGTACACCCACCACCGGATTTGAAGAATGGCAGGCGCATCTTTCAGGTAACAAGCATATGGTCAGTGGACAGATCAGCTCCATGATAGGTCCTGGTGTCAAGCACATGGGCCCGCATCTGCTGTTCCGTCACCAGCAGATATTCTTGCTTGGACCCGGCGTGCATCCATGATGTGGTGTGGATGCGCCGATGCCGGAATAGCGTGTTGGTAATTACAAGCACATGGGCTGTTAAAAAATCTAGCAGCCTCCTACCGTTGTTGTTGAGCTGATCTGGCCCATGTCTTCCAATCACTCCAGACCAAGTGCTAGCATCATGACCAACTTGGGCATTAAAGTCACCCAACAAGATGACTCTATCCCGAGGGGCCACTTTCGCCAGCACCTGTGACAGGAGGTCATAGAAGGCATCTGACTCATCGGCCTTGCCTGCATCCCTCCACTGATGTTCATCTTCGGTGGGGGCATAAGTAACCACCACCACTCCCCGCCAAAAGTAGGCTGGAGCTTACAGCTTCCCACACCTCATTGCCACGCTCCCACACCCCCTTCATTCTTTTGTTCAGAAGAGCCTCTCCTTGTTGTTTATCAATTTCCTGCCCCGAGTGGAGGACTGTCCATCCCTCATGGTGACTGAAGCCAGAGCCGGTCCACCGGACCTCCTGAATACCACAGAGATCGGTCCAGCTCCCAATCGAGGAGTGGCAGCCTCTGATCCGCAGTGAGCATTCGAATATTCCACGTGGCCACCCGCAGAGGCTTTTTGTTGTTTCTGGAGGAACCCTGAGGGTAAGGATTCGGTCTCCTGGCTCCGCCAAATGGGGTTTGGCCAGGAGAAGTCACAGAGGCCTGTCCCCCCGGGTCCTCGGGCACAAGCTGAGCTAGATGTTTTTTCCGCGATTTTGTGGTTATTTATTTAAGTAGGAGGCGTTACCAGCCCCCTCACACCTGTCCAGAACCCCCTTTGGCTGCTGTGTTGGCTACAAATACCATGAGGGGAATGGCCAATTGATATTGGTCCCTCCCCCCATGGCACTGCTCACCACAGCGTGACCGTCCGGCACCAACAAGGAGGTAGGACGTTGTTTCGCCGGACCACACACACACACACCTATACACACACATACACAACTATACACACACACACCACTAGACGAAGACAAAGATCCCCTGTATAGCCTTCACAGACTGTTCGGGCAAGTGCTGTTAGCGAGCACCTATGAAGGCCGGCACGGCACACGGAGGGGGTGGATGGCCAACACCACGCCCGGCCGCCTTTGTCTTCCCTTGTGTCGATGTTCACACAACACACCAGGTATTCATTTGAGGCTGAGCCGACCTAGGGAAGGAAGCTCAGGACCAGTTCAGATAATCGCCGTTGGTGGCCGTGAGAAGGAATCCAATTCGAGTCGCTGGGTTCATAGCGCAGCACGCTAATCACTGCACTACCACTCCCCATAGATTGTATATATATACACACTCTCACTGGCTCACAGCTGAGTGTGTGTGTGTGCCTACTCAGGGAGGCGGAGTCTGTCTTGGCTGTGGAGGAGTCTGAACTGAGAGATGGACATGCTTTTAACACAGGTGAGGTTTCACGTGCACATGCTCGCTCACTCACACTTGCTCGCACATGCACATTCACTCGCACGCTCACATGCACACTCACTCACTCGCTCACACATGCACACTCACTTGCACGCTCACACATGCACACTCACTCACTTACGCACTCACTCGCACACTCAAACACTCACTTGCTCACTTACACACTCACCGTTCGCTCGCACACTCACACGCTCGCTCACACGCACACTCACTCTGACTTACTCTCACACATGCTGACTCGCCCATTCACTCACGCAGACTCACACACCGTCTTAGACTCGCACACTCACTCACCCTTACACACAAAGACAAATATAAATACCCCCCGTATAGCCTTAACAAACTGTTGGTGCAAGTGCTCTTAGCGAGTAGCACCTATGAAGGCTGACACAGCACATGAGGGGGTGGGTGGCCAACACCACTCCCGGCCGCCTTTATCTTCCCTTGTGTCGATGTTTACACACCGCACCAGGGACTCATTTAAGTCTTTGCCGACCTAGGGGAGGCCCTTGACCGGTTTAGACAATCGTCACTGGTTTTGGCCATGAGCACGAATCAAACTCGGGTCGCCGGGTTCATAGCGCAGCGTAGTGCTAACTGCTACACTACTGCTCCCCATCATTCACACATCACACATACACACTCGTACACTAGCTCACTCACACACTCACTCATACACTCGTACACTCACGTTGACTCACACTCGTACACTCGTACACTAGCTCACGTTGACTCACACTCGTACACTCACACTCGCTGACACACGTACACTCACACTCGCTCACTCACGTGCACTCGCTCGCTTACTCCCTCACTAACATACACTCATGCTCGCTCGTGGACTCAATTGCGTACACTCACAATTGCCCTCACTCTCACCAACCCACCCCCTTTGTTGCCTCTAGATATCTCCTTGGATACCTCCGTACCCAAGGCGTCCTCATCATCACAACCATCATCAAACCCACCATCAGCGTCACCATCACAACCATCTCTACCTCCACCACCACCATCATCACCATCATGCGCGACTCCGCCCGCAGTGCGTAGCTCAGCACCATCTCCTCTTCCCCCAACGTCGTTGATCTCTCCGCGCTCGCTGCGCTCTCTGGAGCCTGCGGGCCTGGCCTGTCGCGTCCTCTGTGAGAGGCTCCCGGACGACGGGCAGCTCGGAGACGCGCGGGGTGAGCCATGGGACACGCGGGGAGAGACACGGATACGCGGGGGCAGAAACACAAACACGTGGGGAGAGAGACACGGACACACGGGGTGAGACACGGATACGCGGGGCGAGAGACGCAGACGCACGGTGAGAGACACGGAGACGCACGGGGTGAGAGACATGGGCATGCAGAGAGAGGCACGGACATGCAGAGAGGCTCGGGCATGCAGAGAGACACGGCAAATGCGGGGAGAGACACGGGCAGGCGGGGAAAGACACGTACACACTGGGAGAGGGACATAGACACGCTGGGAGAGAGACAAACGAAGAAAGATGTGGATAGACAAATCTAGGGCTGTGCGGAGTGAAGTAGAGACACGCAAAGCTTCACACAGACGCATGCAGAAACCCACGCACGCAGATTCACACACATCGCTCAGCCTCCCATTGTATCCATACCAGATGGTACTGTGGAAAGATTCTCGGACTACGTGGTCAAAGAAGATGTTCATTAATGTTGGGGCCAGAGGGGGACATCCCTGTCGCACCCCAAGGTGAACAGGGAATGGCTCTGACTCCTGGCCACGTAGCATTACCCGGGCCTGCCCACCATGACGAAGGCCCTTAATGATTGTGACCATAGAGTCAGGGACTCTGAAAGTACGAAGAACAACCCAGAGCCCTGGTCTACTGATGGTATCATAGGCCTTTGCCAAGTCAATTGAAGCAGAGATGTAGGTCGTGTTAAAATTCCATGCTCTTTGTTTCCTTCTCACTATGTCCTTGTTTCTTCCCCCACGTCTCTCTCCCCACGTCTCTCCCTATGTCTCTGCCTGTCTTTCCCCCCGTGTCTCCCCCCCCCCCGTGTCTCTCCCCCCCCCCGTGTCTCTCCCCCCCCCGTGTCTCTCCCCCCCTGTGTCTCTTCTCCCCCCTGTGTCTCTCCCCCCCCCTCCCCCCGTGTCTCTCTCCCCACGTCTCTCTCCCTATGCCTCTGCCTTTGTCTCTCTCACACTGTATCTCTCCCCCCTGTGTCTCTCCCCCCCCTGTGTCTCTCCCCCCCCCCCCGTGTCTCTCCCTCCGTGTCTCTCCCCCCCCCGTGTCTCTCCCCCCCCCCCCGTGTCTCTCTCCCCCCCCCCCCCCATTTCTCTGTCTCTTCCCGTGCATTGCAGGTGGTGTGAAGCACCTGCTGGAGGAGGTGGACGTCTCTGAGGGTGTGTCCCCCAAGCGGGTTAAACTGGACCGAGGGGGAGGTGCGTGGGGTGTCTCCAGGGGTGGCTCTTGGGGTGGCCGTGTCCGCTCGGCGTCTCTGGGGGGCATGGTGGGGGGGAGCAGCAGTGGCAAGAGAGAGAATGAGATGAAGATGATGAAGATGATGGAGGAGGGGAAGGTGGAGAAGGTGGAGAAGGAGGAGGAGAAGGATGAAGAGAAGGAGGAGGAGGAGAAGGAGAAGGAGGAGGAGAAGGAGAAGGAGGAGGAGAAGGAGGAGGAGAAGGAGGAGGAGAAGGAGGAGGAGAAGGAGAAGGAGGAGAAGATGGAGGAGAAGATGGAGGAGAAGATGGAGGAGGAGGAAAAGCAGGAGGAGAGGGGGAAAGCGGAAGTGGTCGCTGAGGCATTGCGGGGCGACGTCGAGGGAGGTGAAGGCGCTCAAAGTTGTGAGGGAGGCGAGGGGCAGCAGCAGCAGGAGGTGGTGATGTCGGTGGAGGTGGCGGCCGTGGCCACGTCGCGCGAGGAGGAAGACCGGCAGCAGCAGGACGACGAGGAGGCAGAGGCGATGGCTCTGATGATGGAGGCAGAGGCGCTGGGTGTGGAAGAGGTGGTGGAGATCACCTACGAGGGGCCTGGCGTCACCTACTCACAGGTGAGTGTGCAGCTTCTTCTCCCTCCCCCCCACCGCCTTCTCTCTCATGGGGATCCTCGTGTGTGTGGCCCTCTGTCTCTCTCCGTGTGGCTCTGTCTCTCTCTGTGTGTCTGTGGCTATGCAGATGGATGGGGCTGGTAACCACTCCACTACCAACGGTTACGTTTACCTCGGCACACGCCCACGGGGCTGTCCTGAAAGGGAGCAGGCGTCTGTGTGACGTCTCCCAGCCAAATCCCATTTGGCGTATCCAGGGGACGGAACCCATACCCTCGGGGTTCCTCCATAAACGGCAGGAGACCATTGCGGGGGGTGACCACGTGGAATGTCAGAACGCTCACTGCGGAGGAGAGTCTGCCACTCCTCTGTCAGGAGCTGTACCTGTACCATCTGGACCTCTCGTTCTGGCTCCAGTCATCATGAGTGGACAGTTCTACACTCAGGGCAGGAACTGCCAAACAACAGAGAGTGGCTCTGCTTCTGAACAGAACAATGAGTGTGGGTTTTTGGGAGCCAGGGAGGTTAGGTGTGGGGGAGCTGTCAGTCCCAGGCTAATGTGCGCTCGCCTCCCCATGAATGGGAGGCGAAGAATGGTGGTGGTGGTGGTGACTAACACCACCATCGAAAATGAACATCAGTTGAGGGGATGCAGGCAAACCTGATGAGTCTGATGCCTTCATATGACCGCCTGTCACAGGTGTTAGCTAAGGGGTGGCCCCTTGGAATAGACTCATCCTGTTGAGTGACGTTAATGCCTGAGTGGGTCATGACGGCAGCCTCCTGGCCTGGAGGCATGGGCCAAATAATGCTTGGTAGAAGGTTGCTGGACTTGTTTGTTGCCCATGGACTTTGTGTAGTGTTGTGGATTCGGTAGATGTCGGAGACGGTTCTTTGAGGCAACACTTTATTAAAATACCTCGCTCGGCAGTACAGTCCCAGAACACTCAGGGTTACTGTCCTCCTACACCTACAGTCTTGGGGAGGTACTGCCTCTGGGCTAACGTGCCCTAACACAGGACTACACTCAGGGTCCTCCGGCTATGGGTGCCTAGGGGGAGGCTATTACTGGTAGGAAACGTAGTGGACTGGAAGCCCAAACCGGGATGAATTCACAGGAGGCAGGGGATTAATTGGTGTATGTCTGTCCACGTCGGAGGGGTGGGGCTGGGTGGAGAGGGGAGGGTAGGGAGGGGCTGGGTGGGGAGGGGCTGGGTGGGGAGGGGAGGGTGGGGAGGAGCTGGGTGGGGCTGGGTGGGAGGTGGGAGGGGTGGGGCTGGGTGGGGTGGGGCTGGGTGGGCAGGGGCTGGTCACCCCGTGGTGCCCTGATATGGACTGGAAGCCCAACCGGGATTAATTCACAGGAGGCAGGGGATTATAACGCTGCACTTTCTGGTGCGACCTCTTTTACACTGCACTTTCTGGCGTCGTTTTATAATTCTGCTCACTTTTCATTTTGCTTTCTTCTGCGCACGACCCTAACAAGTTTGGCTTGAATATCCGTACATAATTACTTCATAATTACTTCAAAATTTCCTACCAGCCCCCTCCGCAGGAATGTGTTCTAACTCGCCCTAGCCAGGGTGCGAGTTCCGACCCCTGACCCACTGGACCCGGCCCTGACACGGACGTCGGGCCAGGGGTTCCCGGGGTCTCACCACTGAGCCGCACAGAGTCTCGGCCCTGATAAGGACAGCGGGGCTAGGGTCTCAGGGTCCTATCTAGCTGCTCTTCGGCTTCCGTCTTCAACTGAGCTGTCTGGGATCCTGAGCCCCCAGCAGCCCCTCCCCTCTTGGGCTGGCACTGTAGCCCCTCCCCTGACGGTACCGTTCCATCTACGGCGCTACATTTGTAATTACTCCCAGCATCTGTGCATCCACGCAACATCATGGATCCAGAATCAGAATATTGCATTTATACTGCAGGAGGAATCCGATGAGCTATACATCATTTTTATTCGCGTATGTCCAGTAGGGGCACGGGGTAAAAACCTTACAACTAAATAATACAAATCACCTAAACACAACATACAAAGACAACTAAACCATCCCCATCCTACCAGGCAAAGCCCACCGAGGCATTACTTTTTTTTTAAACAACCTGGCCGTAAATGATGGCTCAACAAAGTGGCTTGTCATTTGGACATTTCTAGCAGCAAAATAATCTAAATAATCTCAATGCATGGATGCCGAGTCCAACCAAGAACATCTTCTGGTCTACACAGTGATGGAAACAGCAGATGATGCTGGCCCATGTCCTTGACACCAAAACCTACCGTGGAGCTGATCTGCTCACTTACCATCGGCTCTCGTCATCTGTAAGATGCGTGCCTGCCATTCTTCCACTCTGGTGGCGGTGGTGGTGATGGGCGTTCACTTAGCATCCTATTCAAAAGTGACAGTAATTTTCTCTTGGCGCACTGATGGAAGTTGCAAGTGAGAATTTCATCATTGCATGAAGCTGGGGTTGCCATCGTTCCCCTTCCTCCTGATGGTGAGGGGAAATGGGTGATGTTCAGGACTGTGGCTCATGCGGCTGCATTGGGTACGGAGTCCAGACCTCCCCAGAGACCCTGGCTAATCAAGGAGGATATTCCGGCTGGCTGAGAGAAAACGACAGGCTCACTCCCACCATCTACAACATCTCTACGTCAGGGAATGTTAAGGCTTACTGCAGCTTTCACTTGGAAGCTTGGAGAGCCGTGCGGTTCTGCAAGGATGAGTGGTGGGTGCGGGTTGCTGAGGACATGGAATATGGCTCAGTTGTCCGCAATCACAATCACTCTTCAATTCCGACAGGGATGTTCTCTGGCCCCTACATTATTTAACGTCTTTTACCACGTAGTTCAATAAGCTTTACATGGATGTATCGTTGGAATCTCCATCTGGTACAGATACAATGGTAGGCTAATCATTGCCTAGGTGCATTTAAGGGATGGCTCCCCAATGTTAAACCGTGTATGCTGGCGATTGCTGCTGCTCGTTCTGAGAGAGTTGGAGGCTCTGCTGTTGAACCTGGCGCATGCCACTAAGAGTTGGGGCTTTACCATCAGCCCCAACAAAAAAAGGCACCTGCCTGTGTGTTTTATGCCACCAAATACTCACTAACAGGGTGCTTATGACCCGCTCCAGTTCGGCGGCTGAGTTGTAACTTGAGCGGCATTGTCTTTTCATCGACTGCGTAATGCTCTGGAAGTTACCTGGTCCGTCACACCACACAGCTTCTGGGGCTTCTCGGGCCAGTCATGCCCTCCCTTCTCTATGCTTGTGAAACGTGGACCCCTCTGAAGGAACATATGCGCCAGTTTGAAATATTCAGGCTGTCATGCCTACAATCCATCCTGGGTTAAACCAGTTGGATTGTGTGAGGAGCTCACAGACCCTTGAAAGATCTGGAGACGGTCCCTTCATCAGTGAGCTCCTCCAGCAAGCGAGGCTACGTTGGCTAGGTCATGTAGACCAGATGCCCTACCACCGCATGCCCACGCAGCTTCTGTTTTGCCGGATTGAGGGAACTAAACGGGCGTAGCATGGGCTAGAGAAGAGATGGACTGATGTTGCACAGGAGGATCTGGACCTGAGTGGACTTGCCGATGACTGGTACCAGCGGTGTCAAGATCGGCCTCTGTGTCTATCTCTGCGCGGTGTGTCTCTGTGTGTGTGTGTTGTGCGGTAGTGTAGTGGTTAGCGCGCTCACGGCTAACGCCAGTGACAATTATGGGAACCAGTCCTGGGCTTCTTCTAGATCGACTCAGCCTCAGCTGAGTATCTGGTGCAGTGTGCAAACATTGCCACTGGGGAGACAAACGCGGCCGGGCATGGTGCTGGCCACCCACCCACCCCTTTGTGTGCTGTGCCGGCCTTCATAGGTGCTCGCTAACAGCACTTGCCCCTACAGTCTGTTCAGGCTATACGGGGGATCTTTGTCTTTGTGCGGCTACACAGGGAAACCGTGTGCGTCTTAATACTCGTGGAATCTTTGTCTCTGTCTCCCCGTGCCGTCCCGTTCACCCGCGCAGCTGGACATGAATCGCTACTGGGCCGAGTGTCCCTTCTGCCTCAAGAACAGCGACGGCCACACTTACTGCAGCCACTGCGGTGCCCAGCTGCCTGCCAACACCGTCAAGCGGCTTAAACCCGCACCCCAACAACACCAACAACAACATCAACAACATCATCATCATCAGCAGCAGCAGCATCACCACCACACGGCGTTTGGGTTTCATGGCGGCCGCCCCCTCTCCCTGAGCCGCCCCTCCCCACGCCAGGGCCATGCTCACCCCTCCGGCCACGCGTCGCCGTCGTTTGGCCCCCGCGGGCCCTTCCGCTCCTCCACGGGCGGCCGCCTCCCCGCGCTTCGCACCCCGGCCCAGCAACCCCAGCAGAGGGCAGCCGCCTCTCAGCTGCTGCTGCACCACTCCCTGATGCAGCAGCAGAGGGGCGGTCCTAGGGGAGGGGGCGTGGGGGGTTCTGCCGCTTGCTCCGCTGCATCGCCCAGAGCTATCCCGCACTATGACCGGCACCACCAGCAGCAGCAGCAGCAGCTACGCAACTACCACCACCACCAGCACCACCAGCACCACCAGCAGCAGCAGCACTCCCTCCTGCGTGCCGGGCGAGGGGCCGCGCTGGTGGGGGCCGGGAGGGCCAGGGGTGGCGCCGGGGGTGGGGCGGCTCTAATGGCGGCCGCGGGGGGCCGGGGAGGCCGTGGGGTGGGGCAGCTGCCGCTGGGTGGGGGCCACCAGCGAGGCGCCCAGGTGAGATGCACTGCCCGAGACTGATAGTTGGCGAATGTGGAGGTTGTGATGGAGAGAGCGATGGTGTGTGTGCAGGTCTCTCAGTCTCTGTGTGCGGGTCTCTGTGTGCGAGTTCTCTGTGTTGGTCTCTGTGTGAGCCTCTGTGTGAGTGTCTGTGTGCGAGTTCTCTGTGTGGGTCTGTGTGAGACTCTGTGTGAGATTCTGTGAGTGTCTGTGTGTGAGTTCTCTGTGTTGGTCTCTGTGTGAGCCTCTGTGAGTGTCTGTGTGCAAGTTCTCTGTGTGGGTCTGTGTGAGACTCTGTGTGAGATTCTGTGAGTCTCTGTGTGTGAGTTCTCTGTGTTGGTCTCTGTGTGGGTCTGTGTGAGCCTCTGTGTGAGTGTCTGTGTGCGAGTTCTCTGTGTTGTTCTCTGTGTGAGCCTCTGTGTGAGCCTCTGTGTGAGTGTCTGTGTGCGAGTTCTCTGTGTTGGTCTCTGTGTGAGACGTGTGAGATTGTGTGAGTCTCTGTGTGTGAGTTCTCTGTGTTGGTCTCTGTGTGGGTCTGTGTGAGCCTCTGTGTGAGTGTCTGTGTGCGAGTTCTCTGTGTTGTTCTCTGTGTGAGCCTCTGTGTGAGCCTCTGTGTGAGTGTCTGTGTGCGAGTTCTCTGTGTTGGTCTCTGTGTGAGACTCTGTGTGAGATTCTGTGAGTCTCTGTGTGTGAGTTCTCTGTGTTGGTCTCTGTGTGGGTCTGTGTGAGCCTCTGTGTGAGTGTCTGTGTGCGAGTTCTCTGTGTTGGTCTTTGTGTGAGACTGTGTGTGAGATTCTGTGAGTCTCTTTGTGTGAGTTCTCTGTGTTGGTCTCTGTGTGGGTCTGTGTGAGCCTCTGTGTGAGTGTCTGTGTGCGAGTTCTCTGTGTTGGTCTCTGTGTGAGCCTCTGTGTGAGACTCTGTGAGTGTCTGTGTGAGACTGTGAATGTCAGTGTGAGACTCTGTGAGTGTCTGTATGAGACTCTGTGAGTGTCTGTGTGAGACTCTGTGAGTGTCAGTGTGAGACTCTGTGAGTGTCAGTGTGAGACTCTGTGAGTGTCTGTGTGAGTGTCTGTGAGTGTCTATGTGAGACTCTGTGTTAGTCTCTGGGTGCGAGTCCGGCAAAACAACCCCCCACCTCCTCGGTGGTGCCAGGCGGTGTGGTGCGCAATGCCATTGAAGTCAAATTTCAATCGGCTATTCCCCTCATCGAGTTTGTAGCCAACACAGCAGCCAATGGAGGCTCTTGACAGGTGCGAGCAGTGTTCGTGGGTAAGAAAGTGGGTTAGTGGGTGTGTGAATGAGTGAGTATGTGAGCAAGTGAGTGGGTGAGTGAATTAACGAGCAGTTCAATGAGTGGATGTGTATGTTGGTCCGTCAAAACAACCCCCTACCTCCTCGTGGTGCCCGGACGGGCAACGCTGTCGTGGGCAGTGCTGTGGAGGGAGGGCCAATTCCGTTTGGCCTTTCCCCTCATGGCGTTTGTGGCCACCACAGCGGCCAAATGGGGGCTCTGGACGGGTGCGAGGGGCTGGTAACCCCTCCACCTTCAATTTAATTACCAAAGACAAACGTGTAAAATTCTTAACTAAACTTGTGCCGGAGGTTACTGTGGGCAGACATCTATGACTTGCGAAACGGGGACCCCCCAAATGGAGCATCTTCGCCGGTTAGAAACATTTAGGCTGGTCTGCCTGTGATCCATCCTGGGTTTAACCAGGTTTGATTAATGTAAGGAGCTCACAATTCCTTGAAAGATCTGAACAGTCCATTGGTGAGATCCTCCGGCAATCAAGGCTGCGTTGGCTGGGTTATGTAGCCCACATGCCAGCCACCGCATGCCTAATCAGCGGGCGCGGCACGGGCTATAGAAGAGATGTAGTGATTTGTTACAAGAGGATGTGCAGCTGAGTGGACTTGCCGATGACTGGTATCAGTGGTGTCAAGATTGGCCTCTGGAGGAGGCTCGTGAAGGACGCTGCTGGGCAGTTGGAGGCAGTCGCCCTCCAGCAACAACGGAGGGCAGAGGAGCAATGCTCGCAACAACGAGCGGAGCGCCGCGTTGCTTAAACACAGCAAATTTGTACAGTAGGGGGCACAGGTGGTGCATCGGTCATATCAGTCAGGCAACCCATGGCACCTGGGTTTGTCCCGTGACCTCCTGCCAGCAATTTTCGACACTTCACGTGGCCCTCGCGAGTTTCTTTGTGTCTCTGTGCGAGTCTTTGTGTGTGTCTCTGAGTCTGAGAGACAGAGACTGTTCTGTCCCCCCCCCCTTCTCTCTTTCAGGGTTCTTTCTCCAGCTGCTGGCCCCCCAATGGAGCCATGAAGCCACCAGGTTTTGTGGGGGGCTCCCCGCACCCCCACCACGCCTTTTCCTCCCTGCGCCTGCAATGCAATGGGGGGCGTCTTGGCCCCCCTCTTCACGGCCGCCCTTTGCCCCTCACCCCGATCCACAGCAAGCCTGACGAGCCCAGTGAGCGAGCACGCACACAGACACACACACACAGACACAACAACAACAACAACCGCCATTCGCCACTAAGTGGCGGTGATGTCACCACGACGCTTGTGCCAGGCCATGTGCACCTTGAGACACACACAACAACAACAACCGCCATTCGCCACTAAGTGGCGGTGACGTCACCACGACGTCACACACACAGACACACGCACAGAGACACGCACAAACACGTGCAGACACAAACGCACAGACACACGCACTCGCTCGTGCACACGATCGTGCGCACATGTGAACGCACGCATGTGCAAGCACACGCACACACGCGCGCGTGCACGCACAGGCATAAACACACGCACGCATGCACAGGCATGAACGCACGCTTGCACGCACATGCTCACGCAAGCACACACGCACGCACACACACACATGCCTCTATCCGGCCGAACAGAAGCTGCTTGGGCATGCTGACTTAGTGAACCAGCCAACGCAGCCTCACCTGCTGGAGGAGCTCACTGGTGGGACCGTCCAAATATTTCAAGGATCTTGCGGGCTCCTCGCACGATCCAGCCTGGTTAAACCCAGGATGGATCATAGGCGCAGGCCAGCCTAAATGTTTTGAGTGTTCAAACCGGTGCAGATATTCCATTGCAGGAGTCCTTTTTTTGCAAGCATAGAGAAAGGAGGTCATTAATGTGGCTGAGCTACACACCAGGTAGCTTCAAACGCAGCGTTACGCCGCAGATAAAAAGGAAATGCCACTCGACTGATTTGGAGTGATACCTCTGCTGTTAAACCGGAGCTGGCCATGAGCACACTGCCCAGGTATGGAAAACTCTCCACTCTCTCCACAACTGCCCCATCACCAATTGGGAGTTGTGGGGGTGGAGTGATTGATGGCACAAAATACCCAGGCAGGTGCTCGGTTTTGGTGGGGCTGATGGTAAGACCCTGTCTCTTAGTGGCACTTTCGAGGTTCAGCAGCAGAGTGAGCAGCAATCACCAGATCATCAGCATACATAACATCGTTGACCAATCGGGTCAACCCACGACCTGCATACCAGGCGAGTGGCAATGTTAACTGTACACAGATATATACATACACATGCGTGCACGCTCACTCACAGAAACCTATGGTTTGGGTGACCAGCACCACACCCGGCCGCCTTTGTCTCTCCAGTGCTGAGGTTTGCACACCACACCAGGTACTTATTTAAGGCTGACTCATCCTAGGGGAGGCCCGGGATTGTGTTCAGATAATCGCCATCACTGTTGCTTGGCCGTGAGCAGGAATTAAACTCCGGTCACTGTCGGGTTCAATGCACAGTGCAGCGCTAACCACTGCCCTACCACTCCTATACACTTCGTCACACGAACACACTGTGACCCCGTGACCCTGTGTCCCCGTGACCCCGTGCATCTAGTTGTGCTGTCCAGTGGCGATGAGGACGACGACGAGGTTGAGAATAAAGAGGGGAACCACGGCAAGAAACCAGCGGGGAAGGAGGGAGAGGAGCAGAAGGAGGAGGAGCAGAAGGAGGAGGGGCAGAAGGAGGAGGGGCAGAAGGAGGAGGGGCAGAAGGAGGAGGGCAGAAGGAGGAGGGGCAGAAGGAGGAGGGGCAGAAGGAGGAGGGGCAGAAGGAGGAGGGGCAGAAGGAGGAGGGGCAGAAGGAGGAGGGGCAGAAGGAGGAGGGGCAGAAGGAGGAGGGGCAGAAGGAGGAGGGGCAGAAGGAGGATGGGCAGAAGGAGGATGGGCAGAAGGAGGATGGGCAGAAGGAGGATGGGCAGAAGGAGGAGGGGCAGAAGGAGGAGGGGCAGAAGGAGGAGGGGCAGAAGGAGGAGGGGCAGAAGGAGGAGGGGCAGAAGGAGGAGAAGAAGGAAGAGGAGGAGGAGAAGGGGGAGGTTAAGGAGGAGGAGGGGAAACGGGGGAAGGGAGAGGGTGAGGAGGAGGAGGGAGATGAGGTGAGGAAAGAGGTGAGAGCTGAGAGAGAGGAGGAGCAGCAGCAGACGACGGAAGATAAGACACAGGAGGTGGAGGAGGAGGAGGAGGAGACTGCAGTGGTGAGGGTGAAGGAGTCAGGTGAGGAGAACGGGGAAGAGGAGGCAGCAGCAGCGAAGCACGACGAGGTGAGTGAGGAGGAGGCGGCCGTTTCGGCTCCTCCTCGGTGCGACGAGGCGGAGGAGGGAGAGGCGGGGGGGGAAGGGGAGGAAGAGGTGGAGGGGGAGGGCACGGTCAGCGCAGCGGCCGCCACGCAGGGACGTCAAGAGATCCTCGGCGACGACGACGACGACGAGCTGCAGCAGCAGCTCCTGCTGCTGCAGCAGCACGATGACGACGATGATGAGGAGGATGAGGAGGAAGACTTTGATGAGGAGGAGCTGGATGATGAAGAGGAGGAGGAGTGTGCTGTGTGCGGCGAGGAGGGTTGCGAGGAGTGCGGAGCCGGTGAGGAGGAGGAGGAGTTGGAGGATGAGGAGGAGGAGGATGAGGAGATCTGTAACGACTGCGAAGAGGGAGAATGCGCTCGGCATGCAGAGGAGGAGATGGATGAGGAGGATGAGGAGGAGTTTGACGATGAAGATGAAGAGGAGGAAGAGGAGGAAGAGGAGGAAGAAGAGGAAGAAGAGCCAGAGGAGGAGGAGGAGGGGGCGATTCTGGCACTGGACGAGGGGAGTGGTGGTGGCGAGAGCGACACCGAGGGTGGCAAACGCAAGGTGAGGAGACACTCACTCGCTCACCTCACTCGCTCACCTCACTCGCCTTCTCACGCGCTCACCTACTCACTCACTTACTCACTCGCCTACTCACGGGCTCACCTCACTCGCTCTCCTTACTCGCTCTCCTCACTCGCCTTCTCACGCGCTCACTCGCTCGCCTTCTCACGCGCTCAAATAGCTGAGGGATTAGCTTGTGACTGGTCACAGATGTGTAGGCCTTTACTTTAACGTCTATTTCTGTGACCAGTCACAAGCTAATCGCTTAGCTATTTCAGTGCTAAATTACTCGTTGCCTCTGTGGATGTGTAGGTTTTTACTTTAACATAGCCATTTCTGTGACCAGTCACAAGCTAATCCCTCAGCTATTTGCACAAGCTAATCCCTTAGCTATTTCAATGCTAAATTACTAGTTGCCTCTGTGGATGTGTAGGTTTTGACTTTAACATAGCCATTTCTGTGACCAGTCACAAGCTAATCCCTCAGCTATTTGATATGTAAACCCTTTTGTCAAGGTGCCTCACTTCTCCCAACCGGCTTAAAAGTTGCTACGAATCTTAATATCGTTCATTGAAGCTCTGTCGTCCCGACAGGTCTGTTCCTTTCACCTGAAGACGGCCGCTTGCGTTGTGGCCGAAGCGTCGTGAGAATTTTATTGTGTTATTTTATTATTTTATTCTCATTCTACGTAACTTTACCGAAAGAACCAAAGAAGATGAATCCTTGCAGTCACGAAAGCTTTAAATCGAAATTTAACATGGCCATTCCTGTGACCAGTTACAAGCTAATCACTCAGCTATTTCAATGCTAAATTGTCCTGTTTGATTTGTACTAGGTGCCTCTGTGGTTGTGTAGGCTTTGACTTTAACATAGCCATTTCTGTGACCAGTCACAAGCTAATCCCTCAGTTATTTCAATGCTAAATTCTCCTGTTTGATATGTAAACCCCTTTGTCAAGGCGCCTCACTTCTCTAAACCAGCTTAAAAGACGCTACGAATCTTAACGCTCATTGAAGCTCTGTCGTCCCGTCAGGTTTGTTCCTTTCACCTGAAGAAGGCCACCTGTGTTGTGGCCGAAACGTCGTGAGAATTTTATTGTTATTTTATTATTTTATTCTCATTCTACGTGACTTTACCGAAATAACCAAAGAAGAAGGGCTGAAATACAGCCCCTGGCTATCGCCATAAGGAGATTATCTGCCACGCAAACCAAGGTGGACTCTGTTCCATGATGGGCCCTGAAGCCTGATTGGGTGACATCAAAGAAGCACTTGGCCTCGAGATACGATTCCAACTGGGAGGAGGCGGCCACCCTTTTGAAAATTTTCCCTAAAAATGGAAGATTTGAGATTAGGCGATAGCCAGGATATCTTCATCGTCAAAGCTCGCACTAAACCCCTTTTCAGGGGGTCCCGGGAGGAGTTGATGACTGGCTCAAAGGCATCCTTAAGAAGCCAAGCAGGACAGGGAGATAAATCACATGTGGTCCATTTCTTCCCCGCAGTAGCCTGGATGAGGTCTGTTTAACACGTCAGCTTTCGCGACGAATATCCAAAATAGAGTTTATTTTGGTTAGATCGCGTAAATATATAAATGTCGTTAAAACCCGCCACCACCCGACACAGCCAACTAGTACGGATTGTCATGTAAACAGAACGTGCCAATTCGTCACGAGTACAGCACATCGGTGTGTTGGAGAGCCAAGCCACAACATTTACAATCTGAGTACCGTCAGCAGTAGCAGAACACGCGTGCCAACAAGGACACTCATTTGATTTTCATAATGTTTAAATTCTGTGCAAAACTAGCTACTACTGGCCACGCCTAATTCGAGAATATAGCGAAAATTTAAGATAGACAAATAATTGTAACCGTTTGGGACTGCAACCGACTTAGTGCTGCGTGGAAGCGAATCATCAAATACTACATTGTTTAAATGCATGTCTATACAGGGCACCATACTTCAATAAGAATTACTGTTAATACGGCAATTTTTTTATACACAGTGGACAGGAAGGACAGGATCAAAGGGCTCTCATAATGCGAATGCATAATGTACATTGGCTCATTAACCATCCCCCCCCAACTTTGCGCAGGAGCACAGACGTGTGGCCACCACATCTACACCTCAATAGAAGGAACGAAACAGGTGGACTTCTCCACAAATCTGGCTGTCACTTGACGAAGCTCGTAGTTACTGGCGTAACTTCGTACTCAGATTGTAAATGTTGTGGCTTTGCTCTCCTACACACCGGTGTGCTGTACTAGTGTCGGGTGGTGGCGGGTTTTAACGACACATTTATATATTTACGCAATCTAACCAAAAAAAAACTCTATTATGAATGAGGTCTGCAGGCAGGACCAGTAAAAAGCCTCAAATGAGAGGAGCCCTTGGGTCCAAGCTAGGATCAGGACTAATTACTGGGCAGATGCCCTCTCTAATGCAATCGATCTTATTAGCAAAGAACTGATGTAAATCTTTGCAGCGCTCTTCAGAAGGAGCAACTTTTATTGACGTATAGTTTGGGTGAAGCAAGCCGTTGACCATCCTGAACACCTCAGCAGGGGGCGATTCCTTGCGGAGTCAATCCTCATGGCGACCTAATTTTTTTTCGCCATGAAGACAGCCCGTGTGTAAGCCCATTGACAGGCTCATAGAGTTGTTCGATCATCAAGCTGAGATCTGTGACAGCATCGTACCATTATCCTAAGTTGTATTTTCAGGGACCCGAGTTCTCTGGAATACCCGGCAGTGGTTATGGTAACTTGAGCATGAAGACGGCGGTGAGGAGCAAGGTCATCTATAGCAGATCGACGCACTATATTGTACTTATCAACCCTTTCATTGATGGTACCACTGTCACAGTCAGAGGAAATATTGGCCGATTAGGCGTCATGAAATCCAGAAGGGGGCATGAGCCTTTTGTGCCGAACCCAGCGTCCCTGAAGTCCCCCAGACCTTCGCAGAGGGTTGGGGAGACCCTTGATCTCAACATGAATCACTCTGTGATCAGTCCATATTTCGAACGAAAATTTAGTGGTCATAACTGAGACCCCCTGGGCGAATACTAGGTCGATCGCGTGGCCGTGATGATTGGTTGGGCCCTGAATAAACTGAGTAAATCCCATGTAACCGATGGTATCCAAAAGGTCTGTAGCTGAACTGTCAGATGTGTCATCCATCCACATGTTGAAATCTCCCAGCACAATTGTGTGAGGGAATTTCAAGAAGAAGGGAGGCATCACCTCAGACAGCTGATACGTGAAATCCCCTTGGCTTCCTGGTGGTCTATAAACAAGGGTGAAATACAGGCCCTGATTCTCATTCGGGGCACAACGCACAATCATGTAATTCAAATTACTCAATTTTGGGACCAGGGCACATGGCACAGATGAAATGAGTCTGAAAGATCACCGCCACCCCACCTACCCCTCTTGTTACCTGTCTGGGGAATATGCAGTATTGAATGCCCACCTGGGACTAAATCAGCCAAAGGTTTTTGTCGACTCCAGGTCGAAACTATGTTTCGGTAATAAAAGCGAGGTGGGGACAGCCCATGGCGATCGTGTCACGTACTGAAGGAGCGCATTGCACGACCAACCTGGCATTCATGAGCATGAACTTCAGTACAGGGTCCTTCTTGCCACTGCAGCTCAGTGGAGAGTTGGTTATGTATATTTATTATAACCCTAGGCCAATGGGCAAGGGCATCTGGGAGTCTGGATCTGAGGGTCCGATGCAGATGCGATACTTCTGAGATGTTATGGGTAGACAATGAATTGGAAATCCTCACTGGCTACGAGATCCCAACCTCCCGACAGGCCTCCTCCGTCCACCAGTCCAGCCAAAAGTCCTCGGAGGGGGGGGGGGGTGTGGGGGGAAAAGGGACGGAGGCTCCTAAGGTCATGAACTGAGTAAGCGCACATCAGGTGATGAGATGAACTTGGCTGCGACAAGACACACGCTGGTTGTAGAGCACAGCAAGCTGACCACAGGCCAAGATGAGCAGGTGTGGTAGTAGGCCAATCAGATAGTGGTTATACTGAAACACCAATCAAGAGATGAAATCAACTTGGTTTAAGTCAAGGGCTCGGGCAGATCCAGGGAGCATCAGCTCAAGCAGACCCAGGGAGCAGCAGCTTGGGCAGACCCAGGGAGCAGCAGCTCAGTGAGGCCTCAGCTGCTCCTTAAGCTAAAAAAATAACTAGTCTATAGTGTAAAACTCGGAAACTAGAAGGTGACTTTCAAACAGAAATAAATGTTTATTTAAATGATAAATATATTTAATTCGTATACAAAGTTAAGACAAAGATCAACGCGAGTGGGGCAGGAGTGGCAACCAGCCTGACAGTGTCCCCTCACCGACTCACTCAAAGACTCACCAACTCACCTCACTCACCTAGTCTCTCACGCACACACTCACTTATCTACTTACCTTCTCACTCACTCACCTATGCACTCCCTCACCTACTTACTCACCTATTCACCCACCCATCCACCTACTCACTCACCCACCCATCCACTCACTCGCCCACCTATCCACTCACCCACCCATCCACACACTAACTCACCACCCTCCCATTCACTCACCACCCTCCCATTCACTCATCTACCCACCCACTCACCCACCCACCTATTCACCCTCCCACTCGCTCACCCGCCCACCCGCTCACCCGCCCACCCACTCACCCACTCACCCACTCACCCACCTATTCACCCACCCTCCCCCTCACCCGCCCACCCACCCACTCACCCACCCACCCACCCACTCACCCACCCACCTATTCACCCACCCTCCCACTCGCTCACCCACTCACCCGCCCACCCGCTCACCCGCCCACCCACTCACCCACCTATTCACCAACCCTCTCGCTCACCCGCCCACCCACCCGCTCACCCACCTATTCACCCACCCTCTCGCTCACCCGCCCACCCACCCGCTCACCCACCTATTCACCCACCCTCCCGCTCACCTGCTCACCCGCCCACCCACCTGCTCACCCAGTGAGCGCGCTGACGCTGCAGGGCCCCCCTCTCCACTGTCTCCGCTCTGTGTTGTTTCGTGCCGCAGGCTGCTGCCTCCCTGCTACGGTGCCGCCAGGCCAAGCGCGCGCGCGGCGTGGTGCATCCGCACCTGCTGCCTGCAGTGTCGCCATGGCGACAGCGCGCCCTGTCGCCACGGCGACGCGTGCTGCTGGACTGTGCTGCGGTGTACGTGGGTGGAGAAGAGCACCGTCCAGCGGGGCCCGTCACGGTGATCCCCCTCATATACTATACACTACACTACACACTACACTACACACTACACTACACACTACACTACACACAATATACTATACACTACACACAATATACTATACACTACACACTACACTACACACTACACTACACACAATATACTATACACTACACACTACACTACACACTACACTACACACAATATACTATACACTACACACTACACTACACACTACACTACACACAATATACTATACACTACACACTACACTACACACTACACTACACACAATATACTATACACTACACACTACACTACACACTACACTACACACTACACTACACTACACACTACACTACACACTACACTACACACTACACTACACACACGATACTATACACTACACACTACACACACTATACTATACACTACACACTACACTACACACTACGCTACACACTACACACAATATACTATACACTACACACTACACTACACACTACACTACATACTACACTACACACACTATACTATACACTACACACTACATTACACGATATACTACACACTACACACAATGTACTCTACACTACACACAATATACTCTACACACTACATTACACACAATATACTCTACACTACACACTACACTACACGCAATATACTCTCCACTACACACAATATACTCTACACTACACACTACACTACACACAATATACTCTCCACTACACACTACACTACACACAATATACTCTCCACTACACACAATATACTCTACACTACACACAATATACTACACACGACTCTACACTACACACAATATACTCTACACTACACACTACACTACACACAATATACTCTCCACTACACACAATATACTCTACACTACACACAATATACTCTACACTACACACAATATACTCTACACTACACACAATATACTATACACGACACTACTACACTGACCAATGAACCCTGTCACGGTTATCCCCCTCATATACTACTATACCTGATATACTACGATACACTACACTTATACATTATATACGACACTACTGTACACTATCCTACTATATACTATACTACTACACACTACTATACATTACTATACATTATACACAACTATATACTTTACTACTATACACTACACTGTTATACACTGCACTATACACTACAGTACATTATACACTACACGACTATATTATACCCTTCACTACCAAACACTGCGCAACCGTACACTACCATTCACAACACTATTGAAGTGCTATACACTATAGACTCCCATATTCTACTATACACTACACCACAACATTACCACATCTACCATACACCACACATTTCCATATGCTACTGCACAGCATACAACACACGACACTAAGAGTGCACCATGTACCATGCACTTTTGTACAATCGGTTAGCTCCAGCAGGCGAAGCTGCGTTAGCTGGGTCATGTAGCCCGCATGCCCAATCACCGCATGCCCAAGCAGCTTGTATTTGGCCAGATAGAGGGGGCTAAATGGGAACGGCATAGGCTCGAGAAGAGATGAAGCTTATGGATGAGTGGTTGGATTCGTGGGCGAGTGGCATGGGCTGGAGAAAAGATGGACTAATGTGTAGTACAGGAGGATGTGGAGTTGAGTGGGCTTGCTGATGACCAGTACCAGTGGTGTCAAAATCGGCCTCTATGGAGGAGGGGGCTCGTGAAGGACGCTGCTACTGGGCAGTTGGAGGCAGTCGCCCTCCAGCAACAGCAGAGGGGCAGAGGAGCGACGGATAAAACACAGCGAGTTGGCACAGTAGGGGGTACAGGTGGCGCATCGGCCAGTCATCGCAGTCGGTTAACCCGTGGCACCTGGGTATGTCCCCTGACCTGCCGGCGGGAGTTCGACACTTTTCATGACCTTAAAGTGCACCTAGCCTGGCACAGGTGCCGCCGTGATGTCACCGCCCCTTAGTGGAGAATTGTGGTTGTTTGCTGACTTGTTTGTTATTCTCTTTTTGCAGGTGTCGGTGATCTCAGTGGACATTCCAATAGCAGGTCTACCAAATCACCTACTCACCCGTTCACTTGCTCACTGACCCGCTCACTCATACACTCACCGATCTACTGTTTGCTCCGTTCATTCACCTGCTCACTCACCCGCTCACTCGTGCACTCACTCACTGATCTACTCACCCGCTTGCTCATACACTCACTCGCAGATCTACTCACTTACCGATCTGCTCACTCGCTCACTCACCCACTCTACTCACCTGCTCACTCATACACTCACTCATACATTTACTCACCGATCTACTCATACACTTGCTCAACGATCTACTCACTCATCCACTCACTCACTGAACTACTCACTCACCCACTCACCAATTAATTAAATCACTCATACACTCGCTCACTCATACACTCGCTCACTCATACACTCGCTCACTCATACACTCGCTCAAATGCTCAGTCAGCTGCTTACACACGGCTTGCTCACTCACTTGCCCACAAAGTGCTGTTAGTGAGCGGTGCCTACGAAGGCCGGCACTGTGGCGCACGATGTGTGGGTTGGCTAGCACCACGCCTGGCCACCTTTGTCTGCCAAGTGGCGATGTTTACACACCGCACCAGGTATTGATTTTAGGCTGAGTCGACCTAGGGGAGGCCCAGGACCAGTTCAAATGTAACTGGTGTTGGCCGTGAGCGGGTGTCGAACTCTGGGTCACCAGGCTCGTAGCGCAGAATTCTCACTTCTACACTACCACTCCTCAACACTCTTACAAACTGAAATACACACGTGATCACTCTCACACACACTCGCTCACACATACGCTCACACACTCCCTCACACACTCGCTCACACACACACTCACACATTCGCTCACACATACGCTCACACACTCCCTCACACACACGCTCACACACTCGCTCACACTCCCTCACACACTCCCTCACACACTCGCTCACACACTCGCTCACACACACGCTCACACATTCGCTCACACACATGCTCACACACTCGCTCACACACATGCTCACACACTCGCTCACACTCTCGCTCACACACTCGCTCACACTCGCTCACACATACGCTCATACACTTGCTCATACACTCGCTCACACATACGCTCACACACTCGCTCACACACTTGCTCATACACACGCTCACATACTCCCTCACACACTCGCTCACACACTCGCTCACACAATCGCTCACACATACGCTCACACACTCGCTCACACACTCGCTCACACACTCGCTCACACACTCGCTCACACACACGCTCACACACTCCCTCACACACTCGCTCACACACTCGCTCACACACTCGCTCACACACTCGCTCACACTCTCGCTCACACTCTCGCTCACACTCTCGCTCACACTCTCGCTCACACTCTCGCTCACACTCTTGCTCACACTCTCGTTCACACTCTCTCTCACACTCGCTCACACTCTTGCTCACACTCTCGCTCACACTCTCTCTCACACACTCCGTCACACACTCGCTCACACACTCACCTGCTCACTCACCTGTTTACTCACTCACCTACCTACTTAACCACAGATGTGGGCAGTGGTGGTGCAGTAGTTATCATACTGCACAGGTTAAATTCCCGCTCACGGCCAACACCAGCGACGATGATCTAAACCGGTTCTGGGTATCCCCTAGGTCGACTCAGCCTCAAACGAGTACCCGGTGCGGTGTGTAGTAAACATCACCACTGGTGCTGGCCACTCATTCCCTCGTGTGCCGTGCCGACCTTTATAGGTGCTGCTACTCACTAACAGCGCTTGCCCCAACACTCTGTTCAGGCTACACGAGAGATCTTTGTGTTTTATGGCTGTAGTGGTGTTGGTGGTGCTCATGGTGATGATGATGGTGGCAGTGATGGTTGTTGTGGTGCTACTAGCTAGAAGCACTTGCCCCAACAGTCTGTTAAGGCTACACGAGGGATCTTTGTCTGTCTGTGTGTCTGTGTTTGTGTGCTTGTCTGTGTGTGTGTTTGTCTCTGTACATCTCTCTGTACATCTGTCTGTGTTTGTATTTGTTTTTCTGTGATTGTCTGTGTTCATCTGTCTCTGTATGTTTGTCTCTCTGTGTACAACTGGCTATGTGTCTATGTGTGCAGTGGGTGAGGGGCGTGCCCCCCGCGTGCTCTCGCTGCCCGCGCGCTCCCTCTGTTCATGCTCTGTGAACACGGCGGAGCCGCAGGGCCCCAGCCTGCTGCTCGCCCTGGAGCCGAGCCTGGCGCTCAGCGTCCACTCACAGCTCCTCAGCTGGGCTGGCCTGGACAGCGTGGAGGCGACTGGTATGCCGTGGGGCATGAGGACTCACACCGAGACACTCGGGGACACGGGGGAGACATGGGGGAGACATGGGAGAGACATGGGGGAGACATCGGGGAGACACGGGGGAGACACGGGGGAGACACGGGGGAGACACGGGGGAGACACGGGGGAGACACGGGGTCAATGGGGAGACACTGGGGAGACACGGGGGAGACACGGGGTCAAGGGGGAGACACGGGGTCAATGGGGAGGCACGGGGGAGACACGGGGGAGACACGGGGGAGACACGGGGGAGACACGGGGTCAATGGGGAGACACGGGGGAGACACGGGGGAGACACGGGGGAGACATGGGGGAGACACGGGGGAGACATGGGGGAGACACGGGGTCAATGGGGAGACACGGGGGAGACACGGGGTCAATGGGGAGATACGGGGGAGACACGGGGGGGACACGGGGTCAATGGGGAGACACGGGGGAGACACGGGGGAGACACGGGGGAGACACGGGGTCAATGGGGAGACACGGGGGAGACACGGGGGAGACACGGGGGAGACACGGGGTCAATGGGGAGACACGGGGGAGACACGGGGGAGACACGGGGTCAATGGGGAGACACGGGGGAGACACGGGGAGACACGGGGGAGACACGGGGTCAATGGGGAGACACGGGGGAGACACGGGGGAGACACGGGGTCAATGGGGAGACATGGGGGAGACACGGGGTCAATGGGGAGACACGGGGGAGACACGACTCCCTGTCCGTCCCACCCCGATCCCCCGTCTGTCAGAGCCCCCCGAGCGCGTTGTGACGCTGGTGGTGGAGGCGCCGCTGCCCCCGGCGTCGCTGCGCCTGTTGCAGGAGCTGCTGCTGGAGGTGGCGCGCCGAAACGGTGGCCCCCCACCCCCCCATCACAACTTCTCGTCGTCGTCGCGCGTCCCGGGGGGCCTGGCCCCCCACTCCCCGCTGGCGCCGCACCCCACCTCGGCACACGGTGCCCTAACGCTCGCCCCCGCCCATCAACACCACCAGCATCACCATCATCAGCATCATCACCATCAGCACCACCATCAGCACCATCAGCATGCCGTGGCTGCGTACGTTGCGGCGGGGTTTGCGGAGCCTCCCTACGGACCTGGTGGGGGGCGCCCGCCACATGGATTCCAGCACGGGGTGGTAAGAGTCTCACCCCGCGTGTCTCCCCATGTGTCTCAGTGTCTGACCCGTGTGTCCCCTATGTCTCTCTCCCCCGTGTGTCCCCCCGTGTGTCCCCCCGTGTGTTGCGTGTAACACAATGGGGAGCGGTAGTGGAGTGGTTAGCGCTACGCCGTGATATGAACCCGGCAACCCGAGTTCAATTCCTGCTCACGACCAACACCAGTGATAGCGATATTATGAGGAAGCTGCTAGAATCCTGTGCAGCCCATGGGCTTGTAATTACCAAACACGCTGTTCAGGCATCGGCGCATCCACGCAACACCATGGATGCACGCAGGGTCCAAGCAAGAACATTTGCTGGACTATATAGTGACGGAACAGCAGATGCAGGCCCATGTCCTTGACACCAGGAACTTCTGGGGAACTGATTTGCCCACTGACCATCGGCTTGTCATCTAAAAGATGCGCCTGCCATTCTTCCACTCCGGTGGGCGGCTAAAACACAGAAAGTTGGCACAGCAGGGGGCACAGATAGCACATCGGCCAGTCGTCTCAGTCAGTCGACCCATGGCACCTGTTGGGTCTGTCCCGTGACCTCCTGCAAGCGGGGGTTTGACACTTCACGTGGCCTTAACTTGCACATAGCCTGGCGCAAGCGCCATGGTGCCGTCATCGCCACTTAGTGGCAAATGGCGGTTGTTGTTGAGTCTGTGCATGAGTCTGTGCATGAGTCTGTGCGCAAGTAAGTGTGGTGATGTCACTGCCACCTAGTGGCGAATGGCAGTTGTTGTCGGTGGTGTCGTAGTAGCGTTGTGCTGGTGGTGCAGTGTAGTAGTGGTGGTATTGTCCTAGCATTGTGGTGGTGGTAGTCGTGGTGGTATCGGAGCAGCGTTGTGCCCGTGGTGGTGGTGGTGGTGCCCAGGGAGTTCCGTGGCCGGCCGACTTCTCCGTTCTGCAGCTGCGCCAGGGTGGGCACTACGCCAGTGAGTTGATGCCGGCCTCCTCGTCGTCGTCGCCGGCGCCGCCCTTCGCAGTGCCTGCCGACAGCAGCCAGCGCAGCAGCAGCAACATCCCTGTGCAGAGGTGACGGGGGCCGGGAGGTTGCAGGGTGGAGGTAGTGGAGGTTGTGGCGGTGGTGTTAATCGTGCAGCGGATAGTGCTACGCTGTGCTACGAACCTCGGTAACAGGCTAGAGAAGAGATGGAGTGATGTGGTGCAGGAGGATGTGGAGCTGAGTGGACTTGCCGATGACTGGTACCAGCGGTGTCAAGATCGGCCTCTTTGGAGGAGGCTCGTGAAGGACGCTACTGGGCAGTTGGAGGCACTCGCCCTCCAAAAACAACGTAGGGCCGAGGAGCGATGCTCACAACAACGAGCCGAGCGCCGGGTGGCTAAAACACAGCAAGTTGGCACAGTAGGTGGCACAGGTGTTGCATTGGCCAGCCATCTCGGTCAACCCATGGCACCTGGGTCTGTCCCATGACCTTCCAGCGGGTGTTCGACACTTCACGCGGCATTCATGTGGACATGAATGCCTGGCACAAGCGCCGGGGTGACGTCACCGCCACTTAAGTCACGGAACCCGTTCGTAAGCCTTGGACTGCCCCTTCAGCTAATTGTCGTATTGCCACTTACGAACCTTTCCGACTTATGAACGGTTCAACTTAGGAATCGTCCCACTTACGAACCGTCCGACTTATGAACCGTTTGGCTTACAAACCTTTCCGACTTATGAACAGTTCAACTTAGGAATCGTCCGACTTGTGATGTTGTGGTGACGTGCTGTGTTGTAGTGACGTGTTATTGTGTTGTGTTATGACGCTGTGTTTTTGTGTTATTTTTGTGTTTCGTTACTGTGTTGTTGTGACCAGGCTCATCATCTATCCCCCGCCACCCACCAAGGGTGGCCTGAGTGTCACCACGGAGGACCTCCTCTGCCTGGAGCCCGGAGAGTTCCTCAATGACATCATCATCGACTTCTACCTCAAGTGAGATGCGCCCTGCAAACTCTACATTCCTATGACGGGTCCAAAGAGCGGACGGGTGGGGGTGGAATTGGAAGTACAGGAACTTCTCTATTTGCGAACGTTCGACTTACGAATTTTAAGAGTGAACCTGTCCCCTATATCCAGTTGCAGCTGTTCGGACCGAGAGTTGTACGTTCAAGCGCCGCGCAATAGATGGCGGTAGTGGCATCTTCATCTGCAGAACGTGAAGAACCAGTGGCATATACATCTGCAGAAGATTATACAACTTTTAAAGCCATTCCCCGTATACTTGCCGTACAACATGTTCGCAATCTACAGGAGTAAAGTTGAACTTCCGAACAAACCTCTGGAACCTAACTCATTCATAAGTAGAGGAGTCCCGGTATTAATTATAATGCGGCAGACTCTCGATTATCCGCACTCATGACGGGGAGGACGACTGCGGATAATAATCTCTCCCTGTGCGTGTCTCTCCCCCTGCGTGTCTCCCCGTGTATTTCCGTGTCTTGTCTCCCCCGTGTCTGTCTCCCCGTGTCTCTCTGTGTCTCCCCCGTGTCTGTCTCCCCCGTGTCTGTTTCTCCCCCTGCGTGTCTCCCCGTGTCTCTCCGTGTCTGTCTCCCCCGTGTCTGTCTCCCCCGTGTCTGTCTCCCCCGTGTCTGTCTCCCCCGCGTCTGTCTCCCCCGCGTCTGTCTCCCCCGCGTCTGTCTCCCCCGTGTCTGTCTCCCCCGTGTCTCCCCCGTGTCTCTCTCCCCCGTGTCTGTCTCCCCGTGTCTCTCTGTGTCTGTCTCCCCCGTGTCTGTCTCCCCGTGTCTCTCTGTGTCTCCCCCGTGTCTGTCTCCCCGTGTCTCTCTGTGTCTGTCTCTCCCGTGTCTGTCTCCCCGTGTCTGTCTCCCCGTGTCTGTCTCCCCCGCGTCTGTCTCCCCCGCGTCTGTCTCCCCCGCGTCTGTCTCCCCCGTGTCTGTCTCCCCCGTGTCTCTCCGTGTCTGTCTCCCCCGTGTCTGTCTCCCCCGTGTCTCTCCATGTCTGTCTCCCTCTTGTCTGTCTCCCCGTGTCTCTCTGTGTCTGTCTCCCCCGTGTCTCCCCGTGTCTCTCTGTGTCTCCCCCGTGTCTGTCTCCCCTGTGTCTCTCTATGTCTGTCTCCCCCGTGTCTGTCTCCCCGTGTCTCTCTGTGTCTGTCTCCTTCGTGTCTGTCTCCCCCGTGTCTCCCCGTGTCTCTCTGTGTCTCCCCCGTGTCTGTCTCCCCCGTGTCTCTCCGTGTCTGTCTCCCCCCCCCATGCGTGTCCCCCAGGTTCCTCGTGAGTAGTGAGCGCATGAGCCGTGAGGACTCGGACGGGATCCACGTTTTCAGCACCTTCTTCTACAAGCGCCTGCTGCAGACGGAGCGCGTGCTCACAGAGCACATGGCCAGCCTCACGTACGCTGCACACCCTGCTGCACTCCCACCCTGCACCCCCACCCTGCACACCCCACACTGCACACCCACCCTGCACCCTCCCACCCTGCACACCGACCCTGCACACCCCACTCTGCACCCCCTGCACACCCATCCTGCACACTCTTCCTGCACACACCGCTGCACAGACTTAGCATACAATATAAAATACAAACTACACACACTGCTATAGCATTTTTTTACACGACACTGCACCACACACTACTAGACACTGTTAATACAGCATACACTACACACTACTAGACACTACACACCACACTACTAGACACTACACACCACATTGCTAGACACTACACACCATACACACCACACTACTAGACCCTACACACCATACACTACACACCACATTGCTAGACACTACACACCATACACACCACACTACTAGACCCTACACACCATACACTACACACCACACTACTAGACACTACACACAATACACTATGCACCACACTACTAGACACTACACACCATACACTACACACCACACAACTAGACACTACACACCATACACTACACACCACACTACTAGACCATACACACCACACTACTACACTATACACTACACACTACACTACTAGACACTACACACCATACACTACACACCACACTGCTAGACACTACACACCATACACGACACACCACACTACTAGACCCTACACACCATACACTACACACCATACACTACACACCACACTACTACACACTACTAGACACTACACACCACACTACTAGACACACACCATACACTACACACCACACAACTAGACACTACACACTACTAGACACTACACACCACACAACTAGACACTACACACTACTAGACCCTACACACCATACACTACACACCACACTACTAGACGCTACACACCATACACTACACACCACACTACTAGACACTACACACCACTCTACTAGACACTACACACCATACATTACACACCACACTACTAGACACTACACACCATACACTTAACACCACACTACTAGACACTACACACTACTAGACACTACACACCAGGCACTACACATCACATTGCTAGACACTACACACCATACACTACACACTACACTACTAGACACTACACACCATACACTATACACCACATTGCTAGACACTACACACCATACACTATACACCACACTACTAGACACTACACACCATACACTACACACCACACTACTAGACATTACACACCATACACTACACACCACACTACTAGACACTACACACCATACACGACACACCACATTGCTAGACACTACACACCATACACTACACACCATACACTACACACCACACTACTAGACACTACACACCATACACTACACACCACACTACTAGACACTACACTACTAGACACTACACACCACACTACTAGACACTACACACTATACACTACACTACTAGACACTATACACCATACACTATACACCACATTGCTAGACACTACACACCATACACTACACACCACACTACTAGACACTACACACCATACACTACACACCACACTACTAGACATTACACACCACACTACTAGACATTACACACCATACACTATACACCACATTGCTAGACACTACACACCATACACTACACACCACACTACTAGACACTACACACCATACACTACACACCACACTACTATACACTACACACCACACTACTAGACACTACACTACTAGACACTACACACCATACACTACACACTACACTACTAGACACTACACACCATACACTACACACCACACTACTAGACACTACACACCATACACTACATACCACACTACTAGACACTACACACTATACACTACACACTACACTACTAGACACTATACACCATACACTATACACTACACTACTAGACAATACACACTATACACTACACACCACACTACTAGACACTACACACCATACGCTACACACTACACTGCTAGACACTGCATACCATACACTACACACTACAGTGCTAGACATCTACTAGTCATCTAAGTCAGCCAAGCCATGGCACCTGGGTCAGTCGCGAGACCTGTCAGCGAGCCTTCGACGCTTCATGTGGCCTCAGAGTCCACCTGGCCTGGCACAGGTGCCGTGGTGATGTCATCGTAACTTGGTGGTGAATGGCGGGTATTGGTGTAACTGTGTGTGTAACTGTGTGTGTGTGTGTCTAACTGTGTGTGTGTGTAACTGTGTGTGTGTGTGTAACATGCAGCCTGGCCCAGCGGCGGCATGCACGCGTGAGGACGTGGACAAGGAGAGTCGATCTCTTCAAGAAAAACTTCATCTTCATCCCCATCAATGAGGAGTGAGGCTCTCACCGCATCACTCCACCACCACAAGCATCACTCCACCAGCATCACTCCACCACCACCAGCATCACTCCACCAGCATCACTCCACCACCACCAGCGTCACTCCACGAGCATCACTCCACCACCACCAGCATCACTCCACCAGCATCACTCCACCACCATCGTCACTCCTCCACCAGCGTCATTCCTCCACCACCAGCGTCACACCATCATCGGCATATGACCATTACTGGCATTCCACCGTCACCCGGTCATTGCACAAAGGCCAGAGTCATGGAGCCGTGTGTGTGAGAAACCGCCGTCCGTTGACCCTCAGGTCGACCCTGACGATAGCAGTTCCCGTCTGCCTTGCCCGTTACACGGGAGCCTCACTGCAGCCCAAGCAGGTGCAGGAGGATAAGAAGAGTCTAGATAGGGCCTCCTGTAGGAAGGAGTGAACCTGTACGCAGTGCAACAGCGCCCTAGTGTTCCTTCTGTCTCCCCCTTTTCTCATGTCGTGCTAGCGTAATCGGTCGAGAGCGAACTCGCAAACGTGTGCCGGAGGCAACGAGACTCCTCCCAATTTGAATAAATAAAATCTGCGGTGCTCCCGAGCGTCGGCCGCCCCTACGGAGCTCGAGCGGCGTTCCGAGCGACGCTACGAGGCCGCTTGGCCGTCTTGCTTTATTTTTTTGGAGTCCCTCGTTCACACGACCTCTACTCGAGAGCTCATGGCCGCAAGAGAGGCCTGGTTCCTTCCACGATACCACCTCTGGGACATTTGCTACAGCTGAGTTCGACTATCATCCAGGAGATGGTGACACCAACTAGCGACTGCTTTCTACCAAGTCACTGAACCTTATTTCTTGATGCCGTCTGTCATGATACCATCTGTGATGATGCCGCTGTGTCTCCCTCAGGCATCACTGGTTTCTCGCTGTTGTTTGCTTCCCGGGCCTGGAGTCGCCGACGTTCGAACCAAACCCCAACCATCACGAGCCGAGCCCAAGCCATGGAGAGGAAAGCCCCGGGTGTGGAGAGCAGAGCCTGAGCCACGGAGAGCAGAGCCTGAGCCACGGAGAGCAGAGCCCGAGCCACGGAGATCAGAGCCCCGAGCGTGGGGAAGAGAGCCCCAAGCGTGGAGAGCAGAGCCCCAAGCCCGGAGAGCAGAGCCCCAAGCGTGGAGAACAGAGCCCCAAGCGTGGAGAACAGAGCCCAAAGCGTGGACTGCAGAGCCCCAAGCGTGGAGAGCAGAGCCCCAAGCCCGGAGAGCAGAGCCCCAAGCGTGGAGAACAGAGCCCAAAGCGTGGACTGCAGAGCCCCAAGCGCGGAGAGCAGAGCCCGAGCCTTGGAGAGCAGAGCCCGAGGTGTGGAGAGCAGAGCCCGAGGTGTGGAGAGCAGAGCCCGAGCCTTGGAGAGCAGAGCCCGAAGCGCGGAGAGCAGAGCCCGAGCCTTGGAGAGCAGAGCCCCAAGCGCGGAGAGCAGAGCCCGAGGTGCGGAGAGCAGAGCCCGAAGCGCGGAGAGCAGAGCCCGAGCCTTGGAGAGCAGAGCCCCAAGCGCGGAGAGCAGAGCCCGAGCCTTGGAGAGCAGAGCCCCAAGCGCGGAGAGCAGAGCCCGAGCCTTGGAGAGCAGAGCCCGAAGCGCGGAGAGCAGAGCCCAAAACGTGGAGAGCAGAGCCCGAAACGTGGAGAGCAGAGCCCAAGCCTAGGAGAGCAGAGCCCGAAGCGCGGAGAGCAGAGCCCGAGCCTTGGAAAGCAGAGCCCGAAACGCGGAGAGCAGAGCCCGAGCCTTGGAGAGCAGAGCCCGAGGCGCGGAGAGCAGAGCCCGAAATGTGGAGAGCAGAGCCCAAAACGCGGAGAGCAGAGTCCGAAGAGCGGAGAGCAGAGCCCGAAGAGCCGAGAGCAGAGCCCGAGGCGTGGAGAGCACAGCCCAAAACGCGGAGAGCAGAGCCCGAAGAGCCGAGAGCAGAGCCCGAAGAGCCGAGAGCAGAGCCCGAAGAGCCGAGAGCAGAGCCCGAAGAGCCGAGAGCAGAGCCCGAAGAGCCGAGAGCAGAGCCCGAAGAGCCGAGAGCAGAGCCCGAAGAGCCGAGAGGAGAGCCCAAAACGCGGAGGGCAGAGCCCGAAGAGCCGAGAGCAGAGCCCGAAGAGCCGAGAGCAGAGCCCGAGGCATGGAGAGCAGAGCCCTGTGACCCCCCACAGCACCAGAAATGGGAATGGCGGTGGCACTCATAATGGCTGTGGCAGCACTAAAGGGGCAGATACTTGTAGTGCTGGTGACACTGATGGGGCTGGCGCTGCTGGTGTTGCCTATGGTGCAGATGGATGCGGTTACAGCGGGAGTATCGATGGTGGTGCTGATGGCACTGCTGTGAAGAACAGGTCTAGTGACGGCGTTGATGGAGGTGGTGGTGGCAATGTTGGTGCCTATCCCTCCGCCTGCCCTTCGCAAACCTACCCTTGTGATGCCCACTCGCCACAGCCTCTCCACCAGCTTTGCCAGCCAAGCTCGGACTCGCCGCACGATGCAGCGGCCACAGTGGCGGGCACAGTAACCTGCAATCTTGGCGAGGGGCAACGAGACAATGTAAGGGAGAGGGAGGGAGACGGTGGGGAGGAGGGAACCAGCAGTAGGGAGAGTGAGAGAGACAGGGCCACAGAGGGAGACAGTGGGGTGGATGAGGGAGGCAGTGGGGAGATTGAAGGAGGCACTGTGGAGAAGAAGGATGAGAGTGGGGAGGAGGAAGAGAGTGGGGAGAAGGAGGAAGAGAGTGTGGAGAAGGAGGAAGGCTGTGTGGAGGAGGGAGGGAGCGTGGAAGGGGGAGAGAGCAGGGAAAAGGAGGGAGGAAGTGGGGACAGGGAGAGAGACACAGGCTACTGGATGGAAGACATCGGGGAGAGGGAAGGAGGCCACGTCCAGGAGAAAGGCAGCAGTGGGCGGAGGGATGGAGAGAGTGGGGAGGAAGAGGGGAGCGATGCAAGTGGACAGGGCATCATCATTTTGGAGACACGGTCACTTTGCACGGAGGAGGGGATGATAACAGAGGATAAGGGGGAGGTGGAGAGGGGGAAGGAGGAGGAGGGGATGGAGGAGGTGAAGGAACCAGATGAGAAGGACGTGGAGATGGAGGAGGTGAAGAGACATGAGGGGAAGATGGAGGAGGTGAAGGGGGCAGAGGAGGTAATGGAGAAGACCATGAAGGAGCAGAGTTTGGAGGCGATGGAGGGGGTAGAGGAAGATGGGGCGAATGAAGTGGAGGAGTCGGCTATTGTCATTACGGAGATTCGCTCTGTGGCCAACGAGTTTGATCAGCGAGGAGGAGGTGAGGATGAGGAAATGCAGGACAAGGAGGTGGAGCTGCGAGCCAGTGTTGTGGGCATAGGCCGGGCTGACGAGTTGGAGGAGGAACAGCAAAGAGGTGAGGGATGTAGGGACCAGGGTGAGTGGGTGCGGCAGACTGGGTATGGAGACCGGGTGAAGGAGAATGAGGAGGTGGCTCAACGAGGTGGTGGTGATGAAAGAGAAGACATGAGAGATGAGATGAGGGAAATTGATGAGCAAGGGGGTGCAGTAGATAGAAACCGTACTGATGAGGTAAACATCCCGGAGGTTGAGCAGCAACTAGGTGGAGGAGGAGGTGGAGGCACCCAGGATGATGAGATGAAGCTGCCAGGAGGCGATGGTGATGATGAAGTTGATGCGGCACAAAGAGGAGGTGGCACAGACGAGGAAGTGGAGCAGCACGGTGGAGGAGGTGAAGAGGGCCGGGTGGCGGTTTCGAGTCGTCTGATGGCCGTGCTGCTCCAAGCTTGTGGTGGAGATGGATCCAAGGTGAGGCAAAAAACAAAAAGAATCCCCCCATGTAGGCCACACTGACTAAGTGCTGTTTGCGCGGAGTGCCTGTGAGGGTTGGGGGGGTAGTGTCACCAACAACACGCCCGGCAACTTCAGTCTCCACTGATGATTGCACGACACCAGCTACTCATTTAATGCAGAGTCGATCTAGGGCAGGATTCAGGGCCGGTTTAAATATTTCATTGCTGGTGTTGGCCATGAACGAGAATCGAACTCGTGACAGGATTTGTGAGGCACTTTGCCCGCTAATTCATGATGTGCCGCTGCTCCCTGCAGAGAAAAACAGCAGCCGTTACTTCCAAACTTTGCCAGGCTCCTAGGTGTTTTGACCACAGGCCAGTGGCCGAAAAAGTCAACCCGCCCACAGCAAAATAGCACTGCGGCTACCTCTCTTTTTGCGCAGGGGTCAAGTTCTTGAAAATGGTGCGTAACTTGAAATCACGTAAATTTTAATGTACATTTCCCATACGAATTAAAAGAAACGGGTTAGTGTTCGGGAGAGCACGCTATCGAACCTCATTCTTACATCTACATATTTTACAGGTTACAATACATATATGTGCAATACTACCATACATGTGTTAAAGATAGTAGCAGCCTATTTAAAGAAAGAATACAAAAAATAATAAAGTAAAACAAAGTTAGATGCTTGAGTGTGGCAGTATTGGGGCTGGTGGTGGAGGGAGTGAAGAGTGGCGGGGATCACGATGGTGGAGATTGATGGCGCTTTCAAATGTGTGCAAAGACATACTTCACGTGGACAAGATCTTGAGAATGGCGTGCGAGAAGGAGATGCTCTTGTGGTGTTTGTTGTCGCGATTGAAACTTTGTTGCCTGACTAACGATGAGCCTGCAGCGCGCTCCGTGCACCATGGCCCAACGCTCTTGAGTGCGTTATTTGAATAATAGTGCGCGCATAACAAAAATTAGTTTTATATTAATCTTGACGTGCTCTTTCAAAATCCCGTCATATAAATGCGCGTAAAAAGCGAGGCGATGATATCGGAGTTGATGTCTTTCTTAAATTGAGCTTCCAGGTTATACAAAATTGCGGGGGGGGGGGGGTAAGAGATGACAATGCGACTCATTTGAAGTGTGCCAAAGATGAAACAGGAAAGCATTGTGATTGTGCGGTGTTGTGCTCGAACACAGTGGATATGTTGAACGTGGTCGACAGAGGCCTTAACATGGGGGGAGGAGGAGAAATCAGAGTGAGTTCACGGGCACAGAGTTAATCATGGTAGTAGCGATAGAAGAGTATACTTTGTGGAAGGCTCTTTACTGGAAGGGGGATCACGGAACAGACCCAAGTGCCGTGGGTTGACTGATGACTGGCAGACGCGCACCACCTGTGCCAACTTGCTGCGGTTTATCTGCCCGGCGCTCTGCTCATTGTTGTGAGTGTGGCTTCTTTGCATTCCATTGTTGGAGGGCGACTGCCTCCACCTGGCAAGCAGTATCTGTGCCGAGCCTCCTCCACAGAGGCCAGTTTTGACACCGCTGCTATCAGTCATTGGCAAGCCCACTAAGCTCCTCATCTTCCTGTACCACATCAGCCCATCTCTTCTCTAGCCCATGCCACACCCGTTTGAAGTTATTTCGCACCATACCTAGCCAACTGTACAGAGTAGGGGGATCACAAAACGCTGGTCACCCCACCCTTGACCGAGTGGCTGATCCCTGAGTACAATATGTTACGAGTCTTCGGATACTTTAAGATCATGTCATGTATAGCGTATACTTAGTATGCCTGGGATCAAGGGCCAGCAAACGTTGAACCCTCCTCAATTTCTACAAGTAACAAAGCCAAACCTCAAAAGGACGGAACAACATGGAAACGAATTGCGCTTGCCCACCGACTGTAAGACAAGGAACTGCAAATCGTTGAGGTCAACATCTGTGGCCTGAGATCCAACATCGGAGAACTTGCCAACGTGAACGTGTGCAAGGAGAAAGAACCCACAGTTGCCATTGTGGTGGAAACATTCCTAGACCTATCTGTTTGAGACGGAGCAGACAGTCACTTTAAGTTCCTGGAAGCTACTCGAAGGAGCTGTGTACAGACCACCCAGTGCTAACAATGGCGTCTTTAACTACATGGACACTGAAACCCCATAAAAATTACAGAGTTTGAAGCATATTCCATCATGCTGGTGGGAGACTTCAATGTCTATCATGAAGACTGGCTAGGTAGCTGAACAACATACTCAGCTGGCTGCCAAGCTCTACAGCTTGCAAGCTGCTTGGGTCTCCAACAGATTGTTCAATTTCCTGTAATGTTATGGAGCTATACATCCACAGCAACATTCTCACCAAAAAGCTCTTGAGATGAGGCATGGGTTGACGAGAAGTGCAGGAGAGCTCCAAGGTAGAAGCGACACCTCTTCCGCTAGCTCAATAAAAACAATACTGCCGTCATCAAGCTGAAATTTGCCAAAGCAAGACACTTGTTCAACCAGGCTGAGAAGCAGGCTAGAAGGAACTACAACATCAAATTCAAGGAGGAGCTTACTGATCGCACCTTAACCAGTAAGAAATGGTAGAGGCTTGTCAACTCTCTCTCTGGAAGAGCTGCAAACTGACATCCCTGTCATTGTGAACAATGATGTTGCCCATATCATAGCATGGGATATAACAGAGAGGTGTTTCGTGTGAGACCTTTGCAAAGGAATGCTGTCCCCAAGATGCAAAAGTTCCCATACATTCTCTCTAGCTCCGCCCATTACCTTTGGCCTACATGGAATCGCCGCTTCGGATTGGGTTCCAATTACCCAGTGGTGGCCATGCAGATACCCCTTGTCACCCCCTAGGTGGCGCTGTCTACTTACACATGCATGAGGGGCACCACCAGTGCATCCTTCCAACCCTGGAGAATCCGTCCGGTGATGCAAATGGTTGTGATGTCACATAGAGTAGCCTGTATGCTATCACCACACTCCCTCAGCAGCTCTCTTTGAAGGTCATCTCTGACCGACGCTCTTCCTGATCTCAGAGTCTGGATTGCTCCCCCGTCCTTCCTCAACAGATGACACTTCAGCCATAGTCTTTCACAGTAGGTGGCTACTTCCTCCATTATTTGAATCACAGCGGCCCGAATAGGGTCAAATGCACCTGATCCCTGATGTTATTTCAGCTGAAGGATTTCCCTGCCCCCAAGATCTTACTGAAATGCTCCACAAACATGTTCATGGGGGGTCAGAGATCACATCACCTTTTTTCCCCTTCTGGGTGATACAGTGAGGGAAAACAGTATCTGATCCCCTGCTGATTTTGTACGTTTGCCCACTGACAAAGAAATGATCAGTCTATAATTTTAATGGTAGGTTTATTTGAACAGTGAGAGACTGAATAACAACAAAAAAAATCCAGAAAAACGACGTCAAAAATGTTATAAATTGATTTGCATTTTAATGAGGGAAATAAGTATTTGACCCCCTCTAAATCAGATTTCTGGCTCCCAGTTGTCTTTTATACAGGTAACGAGCTGACATTAGGAGCACACTCTTAAAGGGAGTGCTCCTAATCGCAGCTTGTTACCTGTATAAAAGACACCTGTCCACAGAAGCAATCAATCAATCAGATTCCAAACTCTCCACCATGGTCAAGACCAAAGAGCTCTCCAAGGATGTCAGGGACAAGATTGTAGACCTACATAAGGCTGGAATGGGCTACAAGACCATTGCCAAGCAGCTTGGTGAGAAGGTGACAACAGTTGGTGCGATTATTCGCAAATGAAAGAAACACAAAAGAACTGTCAATCTCCCTCGGCCTGGGGCTCCATGCAAGATCTCACCTCGTGGAGTTGCAATGATCATGAGAACGGTGAGGAATCAGCCCAGAACTACACGGGAGGATCTTGTCAATTATCTCAAGGCAGCTGGGACCATAGTCACCAAGAAAACAATTGGTAACACACTATGCCGTGAAGCACTGAAATCCTGCAGCGCCCGAAGGGTGCGGTAAGCCGCCTCATTCTCCAACGTGGGATGTTGCCATGGCGGGAGTGGGCTTGTCGCTTTCTCTCAGCTCGCCGGAACACTTCCTCCATCAGCCAGGGTCCCTGGGGAGGACTGGACTGGGTTCCAAATATAGCCATAGCTGCTTGAGCCACAGTCCTGAACCTTACCCATTTCCCAGGATGAGAGGGGGGGGTGGCAATGGCAACCTCAGCTGAAAACGATGTTAACATTCTCACTTGAAACTTTCATCAGCAAGCTGAGACAAGGCTATTATGGGTTTGAATGGAAGAATGGCAGTGGGCAGGTCAGCACCACAGTAGGGTTTAGTGTAAAGGACATGGCCCCTCGTCCACTGTCCCATCACAACATAGTTTTGAAAATGTTATTGTTTGGACCCAGCATTCATTCATGATGTTGTGTGGATACACCGATGTCGGAACAGCACGTTGGTGATTACAATCCCATGAGCAGCTCAGAAGGTTAGCAGCTTCCCACCATTGTTATTGAGATGATCTTGCCCATGCCTTCCAGTCACTCCAGCCCAGGTGCCTCGAGCATTAAAGTAACCAAACAGGTTGACTCTATCCTCAGGGTTCACTTTAGCCAGCACCTGGGACAGGAGGTCCTAGAAGGCATCCAACTCATCAGCCTTGCCTGCTTCCCGCCACTGATGGTCATCTTCTTTAGAGGTGTAAGCCACCACTACTGCAATTGTGGAGTCCCCTCAGTCCATTGGGGATTCTGTGTCTCTTTCACGTTGTCAATCACCATCTTAAAACTCACCGATTTGTGCTGCAAGCTTTCCCTCAAAACCTCAAGATCTAAAAACCAAGTTTGTTTCGTTGGATTACTCTGCAATTATTATTCGCTTTTATCATTTCTTAATTTGATTGAAATTTCCAGAGTCGATATTGTTATTATCATAATTCCTAGTTCGCTTAGATTTTAGCAATGCTTGTGAGTGTAGCTTTATTTTTTGTGTACAGAACTTTGAGATACTTGGCTTTATAAAATAGAGGTTATTATTTCCTGCACCGAATGGAGGACTGTTCACCCCTCATGGTGATTGGAGGCAGAGCCGGTTCACCGGACCTCCTGAATGCCACAGAGGTCCAGTCTGTTGAGGTCCTGCTCGCGACTGAGAAATAGCAGCCTCTCCTGCAGAGTGAGTGTTGAAACATTCCATGTTCTTCTGGAGGAACTCCAGGAGTGTTGGCGAGGTAGGGAAGAAGTTTCCAACCACGGTTTGGTCAGGAGACATCAGAGATGCCTTGTTACCCCCAGGGCCTCCATCAACCAGGTTATTTACAATCATTTCACCATGTTTTTTGTGGTAATTGAGTCGAAGGCGGAGGGAGTTCACCAAGTCCCCCTTACCCACCCGTCCAGAGGGCTACGTTGGCCACTGGCGGCAGCTAGTGAGCACCGCCGATTGGTTCCGGCCTTCCTTCCAGTGGGCATTGCTTACAGCCACCACCACAGCCTTACTAAGCGGCCACCACCAGGGATGAAGTGGGATGTCATCCTTTTGGGCCATTCACACAGGCAGCACAGCGATTTTAGCTCACGAATTAACCGTGTTAGCCGTCACTGCCCACCATTACTGCAGCACCCTCCTGAGAAAGCCATGGCGCTCACTGATTATTTCCTGGATGAATGGGCACAGTGGTACCAATGAGACAAACACACTCCCCACAGTTTAACATGGAGCTGGCTTTTGCGACCAATATTATTCATAATAGAGGTTTTTTTTCAGTTACATTGCGTAAGTATAAATGTGTCGTGAACCCTCCATTCAACGCAGCCAATCAGTAAGGGGTTTTTTTTACGTGAACAAAACGTGTCAATTAGTTACTAGTTCAGCACTAACCGGTTGTGTGTTGGAGAGTAAACTTACGACAACAATTACGATTTGAGTACTGTGATGTTTCGCCGGTAATTACATCCAGCATCATCGGGTGATTTTTTGCCAGAATGTACACTGCCCACAACTGCCCGTCTCTTTGACCTCTCACTGTCTCTCTCTTCTCTCCTCTCTCTCTCTAGCCATATTTGTTTGTTGTAGTACAGAGTTAGACTGATAACTTTAATCTAAATGGTCCTATGATTATTGTTTGACTTGCATCCCACTAGGATTTTTGCACACAGCATTGATATTCGGTGCTTTCTCTGGAAGACTGCTGTTTTTTCCTGGATTTTTCTGTTTGCGCATAGTCACTTTAAGATGTTTTTTGTTCATGTTTTTGTTTGTTGCAGTTGCACCTGATTCAAGAGTCGAATTTGCTCACAGGGCTATACCTAATAAATTAAACTGAAACTGAACACTCTCTCTCTCTCCCCGTGTGTGGCTCGGAAGAAGGGGGGAGAGGAGCCAGCCGATGGGGGTGATGTCGCTGTCAGTCTGATGGATCTCGATGCTCGGGCCCGAGGTGAGAGACCTTTCACTTGCCCGTGCTGGCCCTGTCACTGTCTCCTGTTCCCCCCCTTTTAAACGGCGGCACGGTTAGAATCCGGCACGGTTACAATCCGGCACGGTTAGAATCCGGCACGGTTAGAATCCGGCAGGCTGCCCTGATTAATACTGCGCTGATGTATGAGCTGTGCAATCATATTGCGCGCTGACCGCTTTGCAGTCGTTTGGAGGCGTTAACTGCCTCGCTTGGTATACAGGGGTTCGTGGGTTCGATCCTGACCCTGACGATGCCTGCTGCTGTATATTTGTAGTCTGCGTCTTTCTCGCCCCATGGTCACGTGGATTTTGTCTCCGGGTCCTTGGGTTTTTCCCTCCACATTTATAATTATCGACATCATGCATTGAGAGTATTTGGCTGCTGCTATGAATGTCCACGTGATGATGATGATGATGATAAGCCACTTTATTGAGCTGCTACCGTTTGTGACGGCCAGATCGCTTCTGAAAAAGCCGCACAACTCAGTTGGGGGCCTTACACCTGGTAAATAAATAAATAAATACGGCTGTGACATCGTTTACGAGAGTAGGAGGGCCACTTTAAGACGTAGACTTTCGTGACCAACATCCGTAATAGAGATTGGGTTAGATTGCGTAAATGTAAATATGTCGTTAAACCCGCCACCACCAGACACAGCCAATTAGCAAGGTTTTTTTACGAAAACAAAACGTGCCAATTCGTTAATAATACAGCACACCGGTTGTGTGTTGGAGAGTAATTGTAAATGTCATAATGGGTTTACTCTCTAACACACCGGCGTGCTGTAACTAGTAGGGCATTGGCAGGTTTAACGGCACAACATTTATATTCATGCAATCTCTAACCCAACAAAAACCTCGGTAAAGGAATGGCTGTTGTGTATGGCCATTGCAAGTCCAAATGTGAAAAACTCAGCCACACATTGTTCAGTTGGGGATCACAGCACCAGCTGCATTGGGCCCTTGCTGGACAGCCTGGCAGGAGCCCTCCTCAAAATACAGAGTCTTGGGACTCCGATGATGACTTTTCTTGGCTGAACGAGCAGGGAGGGGGGGGATGGCGATGGTGGTGACGATGATGAGAGTGCGGCTACTAAACGTGGGGATCTATGTGTGACCCCCCCTCCTCTATCCCCCCCCCCACATTGCCACAGAGATGGAGGCAGCACAGAGGGGCAGCCCCTCCTCTCCGCCCCTGGACCAGGTGTGTACCCACAGTGCACTGTGCTGTTGATGGTAGCGGTGGTGATGTTGGTCGCATTAATGATGATGCTTTGTGATGATAGGTGGTTGTGGTGATGATTGTGATGATGTTGGGGGTGGTGATGATGTTGGTGATGGTGATGATGATGATTGTGATTGCGTGACACCCCACAGTGCTACAACAATTTTGACACCCACTCGGACCAAGACAACGAAGAGAGAAACGAGGACGAGGAGGAGGAGGACGAGGAGGAGGAGGATGAGGAGGAGGATGAAGATGAGGAGGATGAAGATGAGGATGAAGATGAGGAGGAGGAGGAGGATGAGGAGGAGGATGAAGAGGAGGAGGAGGAGGATGAAGAGGAGGAGGCCTGGCATGAAGACGACCATGACTACACGTCACAGTTCATGCACAACGGGCTTGCACAGAACCCACAGATCTGCAAACAGTGAGAACCAGAGAGCGACCATGTACCATTGTCCACAGTGAAACCCAGGGAGACCGGGACCCAGGGAGACCAGGTCCCAGGGAGACCAGGTCCCAGGGTCCCCAGTGTGTTTGTGTGTCTGTGTTTCTGATTGTGTCCATGTGTTTGTTTTTGTCTTTTGTGCGTGTCTGTTTATGATGCCGTCTGGCCAAACCCCAAATGGCGGGGCCAGACTGAACCCCGTTCTCGGGGTTCCTCCAGAAACAGGAAACCACTGCAGTTGGCCATGTGGAATATCCGAATGCTCGTTGCGGAGGAAAGGCTGCCTTTCCTTTGTCGGGAGCTGGACTTGTATCGCCTGGACCTCTGGAATACAAGAGATCTGGTGGTGCTGGTTCTGACTCGAGGTCACCATGAGGTGTTGTGTACAGTCTTCCACTTGGGAGCAGCACACTGCCAAATAACAGGCAGTGGCTCTGCTTCTGTACGAAAGGATTGAAGGGGGCGAGGGCGTGTGGAGGCGAAGCGTGGGAAGCTGTAAGCCCCAGGCTTCTGTGGGCTCGCCTCCCCATCAAAGGAAGGCGAGCAATGGTGGAGGGTTGGTGACTTCCGCCCCCACCGAAGATGAACATCGGTGGTGGGACGCAGGCAAGGCAGATGAATTTGATGCCTCCCATGACCTGTTCCAGGTGCTAGCTGAAGTGGCCCCCTCGTGCTAGGTTGTGATGTAGGCAATTGGGATGGAGTGATTGGAAGGCATGGGCTAGATCAGCTCAGTAACAACAGTAGGAGGCTGCTAGACTTCTGTGCAGCCCATAGGCTTGTAATTACCAACATGTTCTTCGGCATCGGCACACACACAACATCAGTGATGCATGCCGGGTCCAAGCAAGAACATCTGCTGGACCACATAGTGACGGAACAGCGGATGTGGACCCATGTCCTTGACAAAGGGACCTGCCCCCTGACCATCGGTCTGTTATCTTTAAGATGTGCCTGTTATATTTCCATTGCGGTGGTGGGGAAGAATTTTTTAATCACTTTCGGCTGTGGTAGGAATTGTTCCCCACCTCCTCCTGATGCCAGAAAAAAATGGTTGAGGTTCAAGATTGTGGCTCATGCAGTTGCGATCACTGCATTGGGTATGCAGTCCAGACCTCCCTGGAGACCCTGGCTGACAGAGGAGGTGTTCTGGCTGGCTGAGAAAAAGCGGCAGGCCCACTCCCGCCATCTATAACATCCCACGTTAGAGGATGAGGAGGCTTACCGCAGCCTTCACTCAGAGGTTCGGACAGCCATGTAGCTCTGCAAGGATGAGTGGTGGTCATGGGCCGCTGAGGAGATGGAAACTGCCCACAGTAGCTCGTGATCCTACTTTACGTCCTTCAAAAACGTAACTTGCAGAGCCACACAACACCGTCCTTAAGGGAAAGAATGGTGACCCATGGTGACCCCAGGAACATGTCTGCAGGTTTTGCTGAGCATATCAGTGAGGTGTTGAATGAGGGGAAACTCCTCAGTCCAGATATAACATCATGGAGCAAGGTGGAGTTTGACCCTACTGGGGGCTACTGTGCCTTTAAAATTGGAGGAAGTATCCACTCCCTGTGGTAGTGGCTGGCTGAGGATGCCATCTATTGAGGAAGGATTAGAAGCGATTCAGAGTCTTAACAGAAGGTTAAGTGGGGCGGGCAGTGATGATCTCCCAAGTCTGTGTGCAGACTGCCCTATGTGACATTATTACAACTGTGGACCACAGGATAGGTTAATCAGCATCGGAGGGATCCCCTTGTGATCCTCTTTAGGAAGGGATACCGTTCTGATTGTAACTACAGAGGCATCTCCCTCCTCAGTGCGAGTCCAGGAAAGGTAAGGATTATTCAACATCGCCCCCTTGCCAGGCAGCGTGCTGAGTAGAGGTTTATGGAGCCCCAATGTGGTTTCAGGCCAGGGCGGTCCAACACAGGCAGCATTTTCTTTGTCCGTCTGCTTTAGCAAAGGTGTAGGGAATTTCAGTGGGACCTACATCTTGACTTTATTGACCTGGTCAAGGCCTCTGATGTCATCAATAGGCCAGGGTTCTGGGTTATTCGTCCTGATTTTGGGGTCCCTCTGACCCTATGATCATAATCATTCGTGATCTTCACAATGGTGGGCATGTCCGGGGGTAAAGCTGCATGTCTGGGAGTTTAATTAATTCACATATTTGACCACATAGTTCGAGAAGCTTTACATAGCTGTACCATAGGAATTTCCATCTGTTACAGATACAATGGGAGGCTAATTGATGTCTGGGTGCGGTCAAGGGATGGCTCTCTATTGGACAACCATGTTATGTATGCTGATTAACTACTGGTTGCTGCTCACTCTGAGAATGAGTTGGAGGCGCTGCTGCTGAACATGGACAGTGTGATTATGACCAATTCTGGTTTTGCAGCAGAGGTCTCACTCCGAAGCAGTTGAGGGGCGTTATCTGTCAAGAAGCTCCTTGGCTAGTCACTCCACATGAAGCTCTGCATCTTCTCGGTCACAGTTATTGCCCTCCCTTGTGAAATGTGGATCCCTTTAATGGAACATCTGTGCCAGTTTAAAACATTAAGGCTGGCCTGCCGATGTCCCATCCTGGGTTTAACCAAGCTGAATTGTGGGAGGCGCTCACAATTCCTTGGAAGATATGGACATGTTCCCATTGGTGAGCTCCTCCAGCAGGCCAGGCTGCGTTGGCTGGGCCATGTAGCCCGCATGTCTAGCCACCACGTGGCCAGACCGCTTTTGTTTGGCCGGATAGAGGGTGTTAAACGAGCACAGCACTTATTCTTTGTTTTTTTCGGTAAAGTCACGTAGAAATAATAAAATAACATAATAGTGTACGACGTTTCGATTGCAACACAAGCAATCATCATCAGGTACAGAAGAGCTAAATTTACGAGAGAGAGGAGACACAACCGCAGATATATATACAGACACAGATACAACAGGGGATACAGAGAGAAACGTGGGAGCACACAATCAAACAGGTTTTAGCAAGATTTGGAAACCATATAACGCAACACAGACGGTCGGTCAAAACACAATTAACGCAAGGTCAGGTTGATTACGTTATTTCAAAGATTGCTACATTGTAAGTTAAGTGTGAAATTTAAAATCTAAAACATATACAGACCGCATACACATATACAGACATCCAAGCAGAACGAGTTAGCACAGAGACACATGGAGAGAGACAGGCACACAGTGAAGCATCATCTCTGTGTCAAGGTTTTAAATAGACAGAGAGGGCGGGGCTGAGATGTAAAGGGGCAACAAATTCGAACGCGGCACGAGGGCCAAGGAAGAAACTACACATGATCGGCGAGACAATGGGACACAAATTAGCATGAAGCATGCAGCAAGGGGCGGCGCGGAGGCAACAGAGGAAACGGCACACACTCGGAAACCCAAGGCACAAACACAGGCAGAGACAGCACAGAGACACAAACCTATGTCAAGAACACAAAGGTAAACACACCAGTAGAGAACACAAAGACACATACCTCATACCTCCCCGAAGAGGTGGTTGAAACTTGAATTTGGAGCTTTCGTGACTGCAGGAATTATTCTTTGTTTTTTTCGGTAAAGTCACGACGTTTCGATTGCAACACAAGCAATCATCATCAGGTACAGAAGAGACATTGTCTCGAGGACAGCGCCGGAGCGAAACACAGCCATGCTCAGACTGCGACCTTTAAGGTCGCGGTCTGAGCTTGGCTGCGCCTCCCTCCAGCGCTGTCCCCGATACAGTCCGGTCCCCCCACCTGATGAAGGCCGCTTGTGCTGTGGCTGAAACGTCGTGATTTTTGTTGTTTTACCTAAGTGACTTTACCGAATAGAACCAAAGAGTATGGATCCTTGCAGTCACGAAAGCTTCAAATCTAGAAAGGTACAGAAGTGCTAAATTTACGAGAGAGAGGAGACACATACCCGCAGATATATATACATACACAGATACAACAGGGGATACAGAGAGAGAGAGACGTGGGAGCACACTAAATCAAACAGGTTTTAGCAAGATTTAGAAACCATATAATGCAACACAGACGGCCGGTCAAAACACAATTAACGCAAGGTCAGGTTGATTACGTTATTTCAAAGATTGCTAAATTGTAAGTTAAGTGTGAAATTTAAAATCTAAAAAATATACAGACCGCATACACATATATAGACCGCGACCTTAAAGGTCTGGGTCTGAGCTTGGCTGTGTTTCGCTCCGGTGCTGTCCTCGAGACAGGCTGGTCTCTTCTGTACCTGATGATGATTGCTTGTGTTGCAATCGAAACGTCGTACACTATTATGTTATTTTATTATTTCTACGTGACTTTACAAAAAAAAACAAAGAATAATTCCTGCAGTCACGAAAGCTCCAAATTCAAGTTTCGAGCACAGCACTGGCTATAAAAGAGTCGGGCCGATGTGGTAGAGGAGGATGTGGAGCTGAGTGGACGTGCCGATGACTGGTACCAGTCGTGTCAATATCGGCCTCTGTGAAGGACGCTACTGGGCATTTGCAGGCAGTCACCCTCCAGCAACAACGGAGGGCGGAGGAGCGACGATCACAGCAACGAGCGGAACACCAGGTGGCTGGGACACAGCAGGTTGCCACCCATGGTACCTGGGCCTGTCCCGTGACCTGCCAGCGGGCGTTCAACACTTCACATGGCCTTAACGTGCACATTGCCTGGCACAAGCGCCATGGTGACGTCACCGACACTTTGTGGCGAATAGCGGTTGTATATGTGCTTGTGTGTATGTATATATGTGCGTGTGTGTGTATATGTACGTGTGTGCGTATATATATGTACGTGTGTCTGTGTCTCTGCAGACCGTGCATCCTACTTATGGACTCGCTTCGTGGTCCAAACCGAGACCACGTGTTCGACACCATCTGGGAGTAAGTGCCGGGCTGTGGGTGTGTGGGTTGCATTGATTCGCCTGTGCAAATAGATCCCAGACACACACAGGCAAAATACAACCATCCCCTGCGTAGCCCACACGGCCTTTTATGACAAGTGCTGTTAGTGAGCACCTATTTCGGCCGGCATGGACACAGAAATCGGGAGGTGTGCCCAGCACCACACCTAGGTGGCAGTCTCTCCAGCGCTGATGTTCAATACTCATGACACCAGGTGCTAATTTTAGGCTGAGTTGACCTAGGGGAGGCCCAGGACCAGTTCAGATAATCATCACTGGTGTTGCCCGTGAGCGGGAATCGAATCCGGGTCGCCAAGTTCGTAGCTCAGTGCGCTAGCCACTGCGCCAACGATCCTAACACGTGGAGAGAAACCTCAATCATCGTCGTCGTCGTTACAGCGCTTGGGTACCCAGGAATGCCGCACTTAGTCTCAAGCCTTGTTTGCAGGAGGGTACTGCTAAGTTATCACTGTACTAGCACACAAAAAAGACAAAGATCCCCCATATAGCCAGGAAGACTTTTGGGGCAAGTGCTGTTAGCGAGCACCTATGAAGGCCGGACCGGTACACAAGGGGGTGGGTGGCCAGCACCACTCCCAACCGCCTTTGTTTCCCCAGTGGCAATGTTTTACACACCACACAGATACTAATTTGAGGCCGAGTCGACCTAGGGGAGGCCCAGGACCGGTTAAAACAATCGTCACTGGTGTTTGCCGTGAGCGGGAATCGAACTCGGCTCGCTGGGTTCATAGCGCAGCGCGCTAACCGCTACTCGTCCGCTCCCCACAGACATACACACACCTGCGTGTGTTAGAATGAAAAGTTTATCAAAAATTACAATGGAAAATGAGTGGTTCAGTTAGTGGGGAACTTCTTCATTGAGGTAAGCGAGTAAGTTGATGAGTTAGTGTGAGTGGGGGATTCAGTGAGTTACTAGGTGTGAGATTAGGTGTGACTACTATGAGTGATTTTGATGGTGTGATTTGCGCGACTGAGTGACTGGGTGAGTGTTCATGAATGAGTGATGTGATGTTGGTGATGGTGACATAAGCGATTGTGGTCATGGTGGTGATGTTATTGTTGAGAGGAAATGAGGTGATGTTCAGGGCTGTGGCTCATGCAGCTATGGCTATATTGGGTAAACAGTCCAGACGTCCCCAGGTGTTTTGGCTACCTGAACAAATCAACAGACCCAAAGTCTATAGCATCACTCAGAGGTTTGGAGAGCTGTGTGGCGCTGCAAGGATGAGTGGCGGTCGCGGGTTTGCTGAGGAGATGGAAACTGCCCTCAGTAGCTCGTGATCCCTCTTAACTCCTTCAAAAAATTAACTTGCAGAGCCACACATTGTACCATCCTTAAAGGAAAGAATGGTGACCCGATCTCTAACCCCCAGGAACATGTCTGCAGGTTTTTTTTTAGCATATCAGTGAGGTGTTGATTGAGGGGATACTCCTCAGCTCGAATAACATCATGGGGCAAGGTGGAGTTTGACCCTACTGGGGGCTACTGTGCCTTTAATATTGGAGGACGTGTCCACTCCCTGGTTGTGGCTGGCTGAGGGTGCCGTCTGTTGAGGAAGGACGGGGAGCAATCAACAGTCTTGAGAGCAGGTAGAGCGGCAGGCAGCAATGGTCTCCCAAGTCTGTGCGCAGACTGCCCTATGTCATTATTTCAACTTTAATGTCCTATCTGCCTCAGGAGCCATTGTTGGCAATGGTGATGGTGATGATGGTAGTGGTGGTGGTGTTGGCGATGGTGGTTGTCTATGGTGATGGTGATGATGGTGTTGATGGCAGTGGTGGTGATGGCAGTGGTGGTGCTGATGTTGGCAATGGTGAGGATGGTGTTGATGGTGGGTTGTGGTTGTGGTGTTGGCAGTGGTGGAGACGATGGTGGTGATGTTGGTGAATGGCGATAGTGATGACGATGGTGTTGATGATAGTGGTGGTGATGATGATGATAGTGGTGATGATGATGTTGCCAATGGTGGGGATGGTCGTGATGGTGATGATGGTGTTGGCAATAGCGGGGGTTGTGGTGGTGCTGTTGACGAAGATGGTGGTGGTCGTTGGTGATGATAGTGGTGACGATGGTGGTTGTTGGTGATGGTCGTGGTGGTGGCGACGATGTTGGTTGTTAATGATGGTATTGGTGATGATGGTGTTAATGGTAGTGGTGATGATGGTAGTGATGGTGTTGATGGTAGTGGTGGGGATAGTTGTTCTTGTTGGTGGTGGTGGTGATGGTGGTTGTTGGTTATGTAGGTACTTGGAGGAGGAGTGGGAGGCAAGGCGGGGCACGCGGAGGCGCTTCAGCAGGGACACGATGCCCGCGTGCTCCGTGCTGCTGCCTCAGCAGGACAACTTCAGCGACTGCGGTGTCTTCCTGCTGCAATACGTTGAGAGTTTCCTCAAGGTGAGAAGCACACCCGCTGTCCAGCAGCCGATGCACCTGCGATTTAGCACGGTTGGCTACGTACGGTGCGAAAGAAGTTCAATGCACACACACACTTCCACACGTACCCTGTCTGATGACGGTTGGGAGGCCCCCTTCATCCCGTAGTGGATTGAACCTGGCCGTGTGTGCATGCGTGCTTGTGTGTGTGCGCGTGCTTGTGTGTGTACGCGTGGTCTGTCGCTCCACACAAAGCTTCGGGTCTTCTCGGTCACGGTCATGCCCTCCCTTCTCTTTGCTTGAGAAATGTGGACCTCCCTTCATGGAACATTTTTGCCAGTTAGAAACGTTTGGGCTGGCCTACCTACAATCCATCCTGGGTTTACCCCAGCTGGATTGTGTGAAGAGCTCACAAATCCTTGAAAGATCTGGTGAGCTCCTCCGGCAGGCAAGGCTTCATTGGCTGGGTCATATCGCCTGCATTCCCAGCCACCACATGGCTAAACAGTTTTTGTTTGGCCTGATAGAGGGGGCGAAACGGGCGACTAAAATACGGCAAGTTGCCACAGTAGGGGGCACAGGTGGTGCATCGGCCAGTCATCTCAGTCAACCCATGCCACCTCCTGGCAGCGGGCAGTCAAAACTTCACGTGGCCTTAAAGTGCACCTAGCCTTGCACAAGCGCTGTGGTGATGTCACCGCCACTTAGTGGTGATTGGCGGTTGTTGTTGTTGTCTGAGGTTTACATGCGGACGTGTAGCGGTTAGCGTGCTGTGCTATGAATCCGGCGACCTGAGTTTGATTCTCGCTCACGACCAACACCGGTCACGATTTCCTGAACTGGTCCTGGGCCTCCTCTAGGTCGACTCGGCCTCAAATGAGTACCTGGTGCGGTGTGTAGTTAACATCGCCACTGGGGAGACAAAGGCGTTTGGACGCGGTGCTGATCACCCACCCCCTTGTGTGCCGCGGTGCCAGCCTTCATTGACGCTGCCCGCTAACAGCACGTTTGTCTTTGTGTGTGGTGTGTGTGTGTGTGGAGACGCCCGTGACAAGTTTCGACCTCCCCATGCGCCTGGACGGGTGGTTCCCCCCGGCCGCCACTCGCCACAAGAGGCAGGAGATCAAAGAGCTCATCCTGGCCCTGCACCAGCAGCAGAAGGAGCAGCAGCAGCGCAATGCGTGAATGCGCCCGCTGCTGCAGCATTGTCGCATCGTCGCTCAGCCGGGCCCGACACAGTGTCGTCACTCAGCCGCAGCGTCGTCGTTCAGCCGCCGCGTCGTCGCTCAGCAAACAACGTCATCGCAAAGCCGCAGCATCATCACCTGGACCAGGGGCGGCTGTCTTTTTTTATATCAAAGTGCTTTCTCAGGGAAGCGCTGGGTGGGTGTAAGGGGGGGGGTGGGTGGGTGGGGGGGGGGGGAGTGCTCCGTGAATTTCGTGCGGGGGGGAGGGCATGGAGGGGTGGGGAGGAGCACGATGGGATAATGGAGATGGAGCGAGGAGCAGCTACCGACCACGGACAGCATCAGAAGACACGACGACATGTGTTTTTTTTTTTACCAAGCGAGAGCGGCGCCCACCCCCCCCAGTGACCAAATTGGTGCGAGTGGCGGTAACGTTGTTGTCATTATTTGTCGTAGCTACCGTCGTGGTCGTCGTCGTCGTCGTTGTCGTGGTGGTGGTGGTGACGATTCCCCGGTGGGGTCGCGATGTCCTCGTTTGCTGCGTTTGATTTCGAGGGCGGCGGCGGTGAGCACCGGACGCTTGAAGCGACCCCGCGGTTTGGGAGGCCCACGCAGCGATCCGCTGTCCACGGGAGGGTGGGTGATGAGGGGGAGCACGTTGGGGCCCGGCACGATGGAATGAGGAGTTCTGGGAGAAGTTCTAGAGAACACCCCGGGGGAGACGGCGTCCGTCGTGACGAACTTATAGGGCCCGCACACACACACTCTGTGGTGGTGGGCGACTCTGTGTGGGGGGTGACTCTGTGGGGGGGCACACAGCGACTCTGTGGGGGGGGGGGGGCGACCCTGTGTGGCTGGCGACTGTGTGGGGTGACTCTGTGTGGGGGCACACATTTGACTGTGTGGAGCGACTCTGGTGGGCGACTCTGTGTTGGGGGTGGGGGGCTGGTGATTCTGTGTGTGGGGGGGGGGGGCGACCCTATGTGGCTGGCGACTGTGGGGGGTGACTGTGTGTGGGCACACATTTGACTGTGTGGAGCGACTCTGTGTAGGCAACTCTGTGGGCCACTGATTGGTCCCCCCCACCACCCACAGCGAAAAAGCCGGTGCCGCCGAATGAATTGACTCGTGTGACGATGACGACGACTCTATTTGTTGACGTGCGTGACGGTGTGCGTGTGGAGATTGTTGTCGGGATCTCATTTACGTACGATCGTCTCGCTGGCCACACACACAGCGGGTGGCTCGCTTGCGACGCTTGGGAAATACACAAACTGAACGTTAACGGACGGGATCGGTCGATGCTGACGAGATGGTGCAAATGGGGGACGGGGGCAATACAATCGAGACGACAGCTGGTTGAGACCGCTTGCTAGAGCAGAGCACGACGCGAGATTAAAAACACGAGCCCTCAACAGGATTGGGAATTGTTACGCGGCAAGGGATCGATCGGCTCGGCGGCGAATGTCCGTCGGCAGTAAGATGAGCGATCGCAGAGGTTCAGCCCCCTGTGTGTGCAGCAGCTGTGTCCCCAGGCAGTCGGTCACCGGGTTGAGACCACCAACGACTCCAGCGCTTGAGTGACGGCCATCGATTTCTCGGGGGCGGCCGATGGCTTGCTCGCAAAGTTGAACGCAGGGATCTATCGTTGGATCGCGACGGTGGTTGGGGGGGGGGTGACGTCTCATAGAGTCGCTGTCGACTCAGTAAGTGGGACCTACGCAGAGGGGGGGACCTGAGGAGATGCCGCAATACCCCCCCCCCTGCATTTCCCCGCCTCACCCCCACAGTTCACAGATGTGGATGAGTCCTCCCCAAAGTTCATGGTTCTCTCTCCCAGACCCCCAACAACAACAACAAAATAACACAACGCGAATTTTGTCTCCGTTGGTTTTATTGCAGCGCCGATGGAGTCGCACCCCCCCACCCACCCCCTCCCCCGTGGTGAATGCCGCGGCTGGTGTAGATTTCCTTAAATCTCCGTTTGTCGTTAACATTATTTGTGTTGAAGTGGCTTCCTTTGGTTCGTCTGCCCTGTAAATACGATTTCACAGCAAAAACTCGGTTCTAATAAATAACGTTTGACTCGATCACCCTCGTTTTTATTTAAGTTTGATGTCTACAATAAAACCCTTGTGAATTCACAAACTCTCGTCTTTATATTCTTGGTTCTTTCGGTAAGTCACGTTGAAGGGAAACAATAAAATAGTAAAAGTATAAAACAAAATTCTCACGACGTTTCGACTGCAACACAAGCAATCATCATTGTCTGTTTACAGTTAACTATTGTAGTTTCAGCCCTTTGCCAGCCCACTGCTCAAACACATTCTCCTGCGGAGGGAGCTGGTAGGAACGTTGGGTTGCTCGGTCAATGGCCAGGGTCAAGGGCGGCACCACGTGGTGTGTTCCGCAAATATTCCCGACTGTGAGGGCGGGCACAAGCCGGCGCGAGTAGGTTAAACGTTGAGTTCTACAAGGGCACCACGGGGTGACCAGCCCCTCCCCACCCAGCCCCACCCCTCCCACCCCTCACCCAGCCCCACCGTCCCCACCCAGCCCCTCCCTCCCCACCCTCCCCTCTCCACCCAGCCCCACCCCTCCCATTTTTGGATGCACGACGGACGGACGGACACAATAATCCCCTGTGGGCTGGTGTAACCAGGAGGTTCCTACCAGTATTATCGGTACCTATCAGTATGTGGAATGTTAGCTACTACTGAATGACAAGTAACCATTCATGAGGCATGTTAACTATTCATATAACAGTTTTATCACTGCGGAATCTTCTCTTCGTGTCTGTACCCCAGAGGCAATGCCCCCCCTCCACCTCCCAGTGCTGAGCAAATCTTCGCGCTCGCAGCTCACTCATTGTAAGATCCAGGGCAGTGCAAGGGGGGCCCGCACAGAGCGAGCAGTGCCGTTTGTGTGGCATGGGATAGAGAGTGAATAGGTGAGAGGTTGAGGAAGCGAGTGAGTCGTGGCAGCAGCTCCTCCTCTGGTTGTATCGCACGGGATGGCGAGTGAGTGGTTGAGTAAGTGGGTGAGTGAGCGAGTGACCTTGTAGTGGATAGGTTTGCTTGTTTTCGTAACCCGAGAGCGAAGCTGTCAGGAGCCTCGTGCTCCTGGTATAGTCACCCATGGCGGCAAGGTTAAAGGGTGGGTTCCAACCTTACATCGATCCAAGAAGTCTATCAACGTCCGAACGGGCAGAGACTGGGTCTCAACAGCTGTGAAGGCGGCGGACGAAGGCTGCAGCGGGAGAAGTGGCTCTAGTCGCGGCTCACCATGCCACTAGACCCAGCCATTGGATCCCACCCATGCCCCGGGGTCCCCACGTAAATTAACTCCTTAAGTGCAGCTTTTGTCAGGTTAGGGAAAATCCTGCAGAGATGGACGATCGATGAAGGGGGCATGGCTGTGAACCTGAAAGCCCTCGGTCAAGACACTGCATGTAGGTGGTGCATGTGTGATAGTCGTTGGACACGAGTGTTCTTATATGCCACCTGGAATATAAGAACACTCGTGTAGAACATCGAGTGATTCCCCTGAACGAAGAACGGCCATCGTGTCCAGAGAGTTAGCGAAGCACAACATTGATATTGCTGCTCAGTGATGAAACACGACGTCCCGAAGAGGGGAAACTGAGGGAAGTGAGAGGAGGGTATTAAACCTTCTGGACAGTGAACCTCGGATCCACGGAGTCGGCTTTGCAGTCAAAAATAAAATTACTGATGTGCTCCTGGAACTCCCCACAGGTATAAACAAAAGGCTGATGACTCTCCGCCTCCACCTCAGCTAAAACAACGCGTAACAGTCATCAGCGCCTATGCCCCGACCCTCGACATGGATGATAGCATCAAGGAGCAATTCTACTCCGATCTCGATGATGCCCTCACTGCCATCCCGGTGAGCGACAAGGTCATACTCCTGGGCGACTTCAATGCCCAGGTTAGACGTCACCACAACCTGGCCAATGGAGCAGAACCATTGGTCAGGACAGGGTGGTAAAAGTCAATCCCAACGGCATCCTCCTCCTGGTAGAGTGTGGCCTGAAAGACCAACACAAGACCATATGGAAGCAATCCAGGTCCAAGCACCAGCACCTTCTGGACTATGTCATCGTCCGTGCCAGTGATTTGAGAGACATTCTTTTTACAAAGGAAGGCCGGTCAGAGAAGCTGAATCTTTCAGCCCCTAAAGGCCCCCAGAAAGCGAAAGGAGCTTCAAGCACAACTCCATGCCACGGAAAACCTTTCAACACACCAGAGGCCACCACCATTCACGCACAATGGGACAAGCTCAAAACCACTGTATTCGACTCATGTGCCCAGAACATTGGCTACGAACCCCGAAGACAAGAGAACTTATTCATATTCTTAGTTTTTTCGGTAAAGTCACGTTGAAGAGAAACAACAAAATAACAAAATATATATAAAACAATAAAAAATTCTCACGACGTTTCGACCATAACTCACACCTGATGATGACCGTTTGAGTTATGGTCGAAACGTCGTGAGAATTTTTTATTGTTTTATATATATATTTTGTTATTTTGTTGTTTCTCTTCAACGTGACTTTACCGAAAAAACTAAGAATATGAATTACTGCAGTCACGAAAGCTTTAAATCAAAACAAGAGAACTTGTTCGACGCAAATTACACCAAGATCCGCGACCTCCTGGAGTGCAAGCGCGCGCTGCCTTCCTCGCCTGCCAAAACCATCCAAGGACACGACGCAAGACCGTAGCGTACCACCAACTGAAGTCTGAAATTCAATGCCAGATCTGCGCCATGAAGGACAGCTGGTGGGTGGAAAAGGCAAACGAGGTAGAGGGATACGCCGACCAGCACGACACGCGGAACTTCTTCCATGTAACAAGGACAACCTTTGTACCATGGTCTACAGGACAAAACCCCATCATGTCACACGATGGATCCCAGCTCCTGAAGGACGACAATGCCATCATTCAATGCTGGAAAGGGCATTTCAAACAGCTCCTGAACAGGGAATCCACCGTGACGAATGAATCCCTCCAAGCCATACCACAACACCCCCATAGAGCACCATCTCGGTGAGCCACCAACAATCGGTGAGCTGAGGCGTGTCATCAAGCGGATGAAGTCCAACAGAGCCTGTGGTCCAGATGGCATCCCAGCTGAAGTCTTCCAAACTGGCAGCCACCTGCTCACTTAAAGGCTCCACAAGCCG